GTGTGTCACTAATATAATGATATGGTCATGCTACCTCATTGACAATGTCTCAAAACCAGCATTATTGATGCAACACGAAATAAATGTTTACTGGAGGCCCTATTAAGACTACAGACATCATATATAAATATCATGTGCTTTAAAATAATTGGTTTTCATATTTTGGTGTTTGAATGAACTAAGGATACCTTTGTACTTGTTGAATGCTTGATTTCGAATTCTAAATACAGTACATTCGTTTGTGCTTATCTAGTACTTCTTGATCCGATTACGTTATTTCTGAGATTCTTAGTTCATACTATAATTCAAATACCCTGTTATGTAATTGTTGGATATACATTCAGATCTCAATGCTTTTGAGGATTACTTTGAAAGGTCCGAAATTCGGGCTATGACCAAGGAAGATGTTAAGGATGTTAATATTGTATCACATTTCCTCACATTCATCGGAAAAGAAGCATATAGCTTATTAAAATATCTGGCTTTACCGGAAAAGCCCATTTCGCTTCCTTATACGACTCTCAAGGAACTACTACTAGACTATGTTAAGTTTACAAATTTCGAACGTGGTAAAGGAGGAAGATTTTGTAAAACGGCTCATGAGGATGTAAAAATTCCACTGCATTATGTCATCCCAATCCAGTGCACACTGAAAATTATACAGATATTTCATTGAGGAGTTGCGATGCAGTTCACGAAGATGGGCACAAATTTGATCAATGTTTGTCCTGTGGTGAGTCTCACCTATGTAATTCATGTGCACTTCGTAATTCTAAGTGCTTCAAATGTGGTGATATTGGACATATTCAGTCCATTCTGTAATACTACTGTACATCTTGCTGCAACTAATATTAAGTCTTGTAATTCTGATTCTGTTAAGTCCAGTGTTCCTAATGATCACTTATCTTTATCAACGATTTCAAAAGACAGTGTAGAGTCATATAGCAGTTCGGAGTTAAATGAAACTCAGAATCCTTGTGAGACAACAGTCTCTAATCAATCGACTTATCGGACTTCTCATGTTTTTGTTCAAGATATGGTTTTTCCTAATGATTCACATATTTCTGACAAAATTCCTTGCAAACCTGAAGTAAATATGTTGCGTGAACATAATTATGATCGAAAACCTGGTGTAGTTTTGATAGATGCTGATTTTTCTAATGATCCATTACTGTGCTATGACATTCTTAATAAATTAGAGGAAACTATTTCAGAAGAGTCAAATCTTGATGTCATACCAAATATTATTTGTCCTCATAATGCATTTTTTTCTTGTGGGAAACTTGTTCAATGAGAAGCACAAGTACAAGATGACCTCGATTTTGATTACAATTCGAATGATTTCATATCAACTGCTGTTTATCTTTAATACGAAAACACTTCTAATGCTTACTCTAACCAATGTGAGAAATATGTTTTAAATGAAGCCACATTATTCATAACTTGGGGATATAAAGATCCAACATTATTTCGTGGAGGAGGATAGTGTTGGAGAATCTGTGGTTCAAATTCTAGATATTAATGATTTCAGTACAAAACCGACATGCTGATTGTATACAATTCCAGGTGAGTCTGTTCCGATTTTGTTTGTTAATTCCAATACTAATGAGCACATTCTAGATACTGCAGAGTTTTTATCCAATACAATATTGGAGAGACACAGGATGAACTTGAGAAGAAGATGTACTATCAATTACAGACACCTAGACACCAATTTAAGCTGTGGCAGATGTTGTGTTTGAATGAACTAAAGATAACTTTGTACTTGTTGAATAATTGATTTCGAATACTAGATACAATACATTCGTTCGTGCTTGTCTAGTACCTCTTGATTCAATTGCGTTATTTCTGGGACTCTTAGTTCGTACTATAATTCAAATAATTCGAAACATTTTACACGGGTTTTCGCGCACATGACAGATTGTCGAGGATTTCGGATTTTGTTATTTATCAGCTATTAACAGCATTTTCTCCGTCTCACATCAATTTTCGTAATTTTTGTGCTTCTAACATAGCCTTTATTCCAGTTTATTAGTTGTTTGACTTATTTGTTGTTCACAACTTGGGTGAATGTTTCGTCAGCCTAGTGTGATGAAACTTTGGGGAAAAATCCAGTCAAATGACCTTCCCCAAAATCTGTGTTGCGTATCTTTATTGGGGTTAGGTGTAGTTCTGGGACAGAATAAAGGGCCTGTTATTTTTACTTCGAGACGATTAAGCAAGAATGAACAAAGATATTCTCAGATTCAAAGTAGGCATTGTCGATCGTATGGACAGTAGAAAGACGGCAGAAACACCTGTTTGGGGTAAAATTCCATATTTTACCTGATCTCCAGGCATTAAAGCTTATTTACTATACCACTAAGTCGCCTCATCGATCATCTGCTGATATGGTTCAGAAATGGAATTCAGTGTCCAGTGCTTATTATTTCACCATTGAGCACTGAGTGAATAAAAACTTACCGCATACATATTTTCTATCACGCCACTTATATTTCAAAAGACCACCTAATGAATGTGATTGTATTTTTGTTTAACTATTACCTGTTGACATAGCAGAACGTATAAGGGATGCCCCGTAACTCAAATTAAGTTAATTGTTGGAGTTCTAGACTTGTTGGTATTGACTCTATTCTGCTATATTATCTCAAATTCACGAGCCTATTCTTTTCAAGCCTCTCTGACTTATATCGGAGACGATTTAAAGACTATTTGAGTAATGACAAATAGAATCGTTAATGTCCTAAGCAATCCTTCCTAGATGCTATCCATCCTTGGATACCTATCTCAAATTCCCTTCCAGTTCTCCTTTACTTTTGTTTTCAGGATTCCGAGTTACAGCCAACGTCGAGATACAGTCTGATAATTTCGGCAATCTATGTTCTATCCACCACCAAAGCCTTTTTCTTAATTTCCTCTTCAGAAAAGTTGGTTTGTTTTCCCCATCAGTAGGCTGCTGCTGAAGGTATCCTTCCAAAGAACATTAAGTATCTCGCGTATACCATTTTTTGTAAATACTTATACATTTATGATGATGGTTGTAATAGCTCTTCAGTTTTCAGCTCCGAACAGTAGAACTGTCTTGACGTTCGTATTAAAGACACTGACTTTGATGTTGTTTTGTATACAGTTGTTTTGAGTTTTGTATGTTTTCCATTCAGCTCCGTACTGTCTTAACATTTGCCTTAAAAAAAGTTTTATTTGGTGCTGGAAGGTTTTTCTAAGTTTCAAATACCCATCGCTTTGATATCTCGTAATGTCACATATGCATCACATCCACCAATTTTGTCAGTTATGCTGCCCCTGTATTTAGTGGCTTTCACCCTTTTCACAACGAAACCATGATGTGCGGTTTGGTCGTTGATCACTGTATTTTGCTTGACAATCTTTTTCCTCTGCGAATGTTCAGACTTGACGCTGCGGATGCCGCCACCATTATGATAACCTCTATCCGTATTTATTATTGAATTTGGGATAGAAGAGATAAGTCACTTGCCGGATTAAAATCATCCAGCTTTCCCTAAGAGGTTCACTTTCATCGTCAATACTCATGACGCGCGGAATTCTTCACATTTCATTTCACAATCAGATGATAGAGGGAAGGTGAGTGAAATCAGTCTTGCTTGACGTCAGTCCTCATGTGAAATGAATTCGTGGACTGCCATCCATACAATGGGGCCCTTCGTATGAGTTCTGTATGTTGACAGCGATCTGCAATAGAATCTCCTAGAAATGGTTCCTAAATCTTTGCGTATCCTTCGTCCTAATAGCCACTATTGTGTAACTCACAACGGCGTTTGATGTTTTGGGAGAGGATACGAGGCGTTGACTATAATTAATCACAGTATGTAACTGATCACAAACCAATTGGCACATAAAGCAAATACGAGAGAAAATGGAAGCACGAATGAATGTCACGGTATATCAGCTAATTAATTAGGGCTTTTACTTTTTATGCTGTATGCAAATGGATGGCCAAGTATAGTTAAATCTCATGTGCTAAAATACGCAGATGATGTAAAAATCTGATGAGATGCAACAGGAGACGTAGATTCACATGCACTTCAGGAGGACTTTTATTTTGTGATGAACTGGTTTAAAATGTGGTCTATGCATATCAACGCGGCTAAGTGTGTTTACAAGCACCTTGGAAATGCAAAAATAAATAGGTACAGCTTAGGGGAAGAGTCGGTGCCTGTACTGCTATCCATCAAGCATCTTCAGGTGACAGAAAGCCACAAACTTAAGACCACGGTACACCGCCGCGAGCTAGTGGCCAAGCGGTTAAGTATTCTATGGTCTTCAAGATAGAAATTTACCAAGTTAGGTACTAATATGTTCACAATAGTATGTATAATATTAGAAGAATTTAGACGTGAAGACTTTGCTCATTCCGCAGGCCTATGATTGAAAATTAATTGGATATTTTGAGAAAAGTGCGAGGGGTAGCTGCTCGTTCTGTTCCATAACTCTCGGGTCTACCATGTTAAGAGTGCTTAAGTTTTTGTGAGTGGTTTGCATTTATTGTTCTTTGTTGATCGCTCAATTCCAAATATTTGCCTTCACCTGTTTTCTACCTGTTGGCTTCTGTGATTCGTTGAGTAGAATCTTCAGATTCTTTTCATCAATCTATCTTAGGCAGTTTATCCACAGAAATATAATATGAGAAAGAAAGGCTGGACATTTCCCTCATTTCTAATGGTACTAAGAAATACCAACCAGCATTTATTTTTCCACCACTTTTTTGTAAGAAGACGATATATTCTTCACGGAGGGTCAAAAAATGTTATATTTATGTCATTAGTAGCCATTTCACACAATCCAAAACCAAACGTTTTTCACTTGCTTGAAAAATGTGTAAAGTAATAATTAATGAACAGTAGCCCATCTAGTAAGGATATAAAATATAAAAAACTCAGTATGAAGTTCTGTATCATCAAGGTGAAAAATTTGTTTGTTTATATCGATTTCTCTATTTAACATAGATTTTATCGTGGTGCACTTTCAAGTTTATTTGTGCTTTTGTCTAGTTTCTTAATTAACGCAAGTATTTTACAAATCACTCATTAAATAACCCTGTTAACCAAGCATCTTGTTACATACCTAAGGTTAACCCTGACTGGGACAATACAATTCAGGAACTGTTTTATAAGATCTTCAAGTATAGTGTAACAAAAACCGTTTGGAGCATCATAATTAACAGGATTATAAATTTTTTAGCGATGTAGCCAAATAAAAGCTCTTAGGCAAAAGAACGTTCGTCTTAAATAGTTTATTGACTTTAATGAGATGTTTTCGTGTAATGGTACATCTAAATTTATACCACAGTATACAGGCTATAGCCAAATGATTCCTTTGTCAGATGAAACAGTTGGGATGTAAAGATCCCTAGAAATGTTTCTGTAGCTTAGCTAGAGCCTTGTTTTAATTTTGTGATTACAACAAGGTCTTGAAGCAATACAACTTGATGATATGAGTTCTATTAGTCTTCCTTAAAATTATTTCCTCATAATTTGGCATAATATTGGTAGTTTTTGATGAAACGCTTACCTTGATTTCTTAAGAATTCATCGGCTACACCTAGGTGAAGTTTCTAGAAGCCCCCACACCGAAACATTTTGTCAAAATCTGGCATCAATGCTAATTGTTTCATCCGTGTTCTTGTAGTCTCTACATTTTTGAGTTCTTTTTTTCTTGTTCCAAACAGAGAAATACGCGTTCAAAATATAACAGATTATTAGAAACGTAAGACACTGGTCTGACTAAGAAGATTTTAATGCCAGTCATGAGACAATGTAAGATAATGTAATGTTTTTTGTTATCATGTGAAATTTTATAACCGTTCAAGATGAACTATAATGCTCTCATTATAGTTGCCTTTTATCTCTACCGTAACTAGAAGGAAAACTGAAACTTCAGTGTGAACTGTGTGAAGGAACTTGTAACTGTTGATGCAAGTTCCAGCCTTGAATTATTACCAAAGCACTAAAAGTATGGTTTCTTAACCGAAAGTATCCAGATAACTTTAGTATTATGTCGTTCTCTAAGCTAAGTTATTTAGTCGTGGATTTCATTGTCCTCTTGGATGTCACCCTTGTAAAACTGAAATAGAAATAATCTGTCGCCACTTTCCCACATACTGACTGACGACCTTGATCTCAACTGGTTATTGCTGTACCTTGTTTTACCATTGTTTACATACCACTTTTAACTGTCATTCTCTTTGAACTGATTTTAGACCTCATAAATGAAAAACAATAAAAGCTTTACAATTAAACTGCTCGGTTGAATGAACATAATGCCATCAAGATCATCTACACGACCTACATAGCACTTCTTTTATCTTAGCATCGAAGACTGTTTCTACAAAACAAGATGTGTAATACATCGAAAACTACGTATATATGTTGAATACCACATGTGCCAACTAACGATTTTTGTCGTTGTTAATAGCTGACTCCATTGTGCGATTTATAGATTTGTAAGTAAAGGTACAGTTTTCATTTGAAATCTTTAGGAGTTTCTTCCTCAGAAGTTCTTAAACCTCGGACAGTGCACTTTGGAATTATTGAATAATGAAAATACTAGACAGCTACTATATCATAACCTAGGCTTTATTAAGCATTGTCTAGTCAAGCTTTTGCATAGAAACACGATCAGTACCTCAAATTACTGCAGTGATGAAGATACCTTTAAACCACTAGGTTAGAACCCGATGGTTTACACTTTAGTGTTATTCAATTTCCTATAGCTCAAGACCTACACACAATGATATTTCACTTTCATTTTGAAAAGGACAGGAGGCTTGATGGCATGTGTTAGTCCTGGCAATGATGGTCTCTCAGTTGATCCAACTTTCTTTCGAAAGAGTCGACGGATGGAGCCTCAACCACGTGCTGAGGTAATGAATTTCACTCGTTGATGATTCGATGGGAAAGTAGATAGTCAGCTGACAAGTAATTTGTTCTGGGCTTGTGAACTTTTTTTGAGTGTCCTCGTAAATTCTCTGTTTTGGAAGACAAGAAAAATGTGGGGATATCAGGTGCAAATTTATCACTAAACAATCTGAAAACTATAATCAAGTCGCCTCTAGTTCTCCGATATGACAACGGGAATAGATTTAGCTTGGCCAATTGAGCTTCATACGGGAGCTTCGTTATTCCGGAAACCAGCTTAGTTGATGTTCTTTGAACCTTCCCCAAAAGCTCACTGTCTTTTTTTAAGCAGTGGCTAGCCGCTTGTATGCAGTGCTCAAGTTTAGAACTCACAAACACTGTATATACAGTCAGAAACTTTTTAGTATCGATGTGACTAAAGGCCCTACGTATCGACCATAAAGTTCTAAAACCTTTGGTGGCTATTACACGGTACTGTGCAGTAATCTTTAAGTCTTGGCTAACGATGACTCCTAAGTCATTGTTTGTCTGGACAACAGGTAGCTCAGTGTTATTCATCGTGTATGTATCCGTACCTTGATGACCAATATGGATCACAATACACTTAGAGGTATTAATCGGCAACTGCCAGGTTTGAGATCATTCAGATAATTTTGGGAGTTCTAAGCTATGGGTAACATTCTAACTGACTTGAATTTTGATTCACTTAGCTGAATGTTTCTTCTTTTCTGAGAAGTTGGAACGATCTTTGTTAGACGCCGTACGGATTCACAAGTTTTCACATCTCTGAACTTTCAAACTAGAACAAACAGCTCCCAAAATCGCGGAAATTTTCAATAATTCTCCAAGATCCACCAGTCTGTGCTGAATTTTGCCTTCAAACAGTAGAAAATCTTCATAGAAGAATCTCAGTTGATAAAAACAAAAATATTTTGTTTTATTAGTGGTTTCACTAGACATTAAAACAGGTTACAATATATAATGTTTAGTCTTCCAAGCGAACTTAAGTGCATTCATGCTGATTATTTTATTATAATACTTATAATGTCTAGATGATTAGATCAGGTTCTACCATTACATGGAAAATATTGTCTTACATTATGAATTGTTTCATATGCAGGAAATAATGAATGAATATATTCCTTCAAACATAAACTTGACGAAGAAAAATGGTATGCTTAGTGTCACAAAAGGTAAGCAGCCAACAACAACAAAAGTTAGATCAAAACTCGCAAGCAGGTAATAATTTCTAATATTTTTGAGCATTACACCATTTGTTACTCTTAAAATCAGGAAAGTTATTTTTGAAGATCCTTTATGCCTGAATGACAAAGACATCGTTGCTGATGAGCTACTGGTTCAAAAAGAGGCTGATTATCTTAGTAATAACCACAATATCAATAACGATTTTTCAAATAAAACCGGTGGTAATTTAGAAAGCATCAATGACGATATTGAACTAATTGATTTGAAAGGAAAGGTAAGCCATATTTGGAGCTTAACTGTGTTTGTAGCAAGCTAAAATTTATACTTTTGACTTCTTCCTATCACAGAGTGGTTGGGAAGGCAATAAAATGAGCATTAGTTTGTCCTCAATCTGTAGAAACAAGTTAGCACTTGGGAGAATTCAACGGTTTTAAGACTTTGTGGAATGTTTGAGTTCTGTGATTTTGTGCAAGGCACTAGCGATTAGTGCTAACTGTCAAGTTTCATGATCACAAATAGCTGAGACACAATAGTATTTAGAATTCGCATAAAATTTAGCGATCATTTGGAATCCGGTAACTCTTAGTTTGTATTTAGGTGTGCAAAAGGGGATGCATACATGGGAATACTGAACACAGTGACTAAAGGGGACTATGCGTATACATGTTCACATAAATCAACATATAATAATTTATTTTCATTACCACCTACTGGAAAATATCCAAAAAATTTGTTTTCAACAATATTTTCAAGGTAATGTGACAATTCAACTTGTTTGTTATAATGAATAACAATATTCAAAATTGTGAACTGTTTCGCCCTCTGATTTTAGCATTAAAATAACGTTAGTACGCCCTACACTACTGTCACACAACCACACCACTTTAGCTATATTCTCTCACAAAAACATCTATTAAAATACAGATATAACTGTATCTTTAAAATCCAGAGTATTACACGACTAAAAGATCATGATTTATTGGTGACTAAACAAACGCGTAATCACATTACTTATTGCAAGTGTTCATTGATGAATGGCATTCTTTAAACTAACATACTCCTTTATCCGAATTGATCAACGTCACAAATTTTCGTTTGGCTAGAGTTTCGTTAATTGCTGTAATGGGGAAAAATTATGTAACATTCGACCACTTTTATCTTTCTATAATAGGTTCAAGATTTGTCAGTGCAGTTAGAAGAAATATGTAAATATTCACGTCCATCTTTAAATGAAAATGATGTATGTTTCTGTCATGACCTCGTTGGTGGAAAATGTTTATTACCACAAAATCGTACTTATACTGACTCTCCACGGTTAAAAACCCCGCCAAAAGTTTGGTTCTCTAAACCAGATTGTTGTCAGTCGTGCACAGTACCATGTTGTGTTAAAGCTGACTCAAGCTCTACAAATTTATTGAATAATCCGGAAAAGTTACGACCACTTACTGATGAAGAATTACTACAGGTATGCTTTTTAATTATTATACATTTCAACCGACACCGAGTAAAAAATTGGAAGACTGTAACCACCATCAATTATTATGTTTGAATATATGCTTAAATTATTTGGCCATCTGTCTTGGATGTAATAGAAACTCATTCAACAAGTTTTTAAAAGAGGTATTTTGTAATTCTAATCTAAAAATTCAATGAAGAAGTGAATTTGTTTTACCCAAGAACCATTTTCAATAATTTATTGTTTAGCTACTACAATTCGAATTCTGTTAAATATTATTATATAGCGGTCAGTGTAAAGTATACGTTAAAATTTAAGATGGAATCACCCAATGTTAGAAGACACAAAATTAGAATTTGTGGAGATCTCTACCTTCACCACATACCGTCAGACTCGAGGTTTTCAGTACCAAGCATGAGTCAGTTAATTATTCCGCAGATAAATAACAGACATAGAATCAAAAATGTCTAGTTAAAAAAAGGAATGTATTCATATAAATTGTTTACGTTTTTTGCCGGTTTTTGTCCAGTGAACTCAGCGATCTTCTGTCAAATAAATTCTACTCTACAAAATTTCCTCTGCTAGAAATACTCCCCAGTTCCACCATCCGACATATTTTTAAAATTTCTTATTAACTTTGCTCTTACATTGGCTCATTGTTCGCGTATTATCGTCTTTACACCATCTCAGTCCTGATCTTGCTTCATCCATTCGTAAGGAGTTGTTTTCCTCAACAGTTTATCTATCAAACACCCTTTAACATTTCATGAATTGCCTGAGATGTTTTCTACATTTGGCCATAAATTTGATGTTGAGCTTTTGTACCCTTTGTCCAGAAAAGTATCGTCGTAAGGTCTTGATGAGTATTTTAACGCCCTATCTGTTTTCGGTACGTAATATAATTGATTTAGTGAGAGTTATAGCTACTAACTAAAAACGTTAGTACCCCAGCTTCTATGTTTACTGAATAGATCATATACCCCATGACCTTAAAATATGTGTAATTAAACACAGTCAGTTGACTTTTTTGATATTGTATCTTCTGTGCTCCTGAATGTAAAATTTTTCAAATGATTTTGTTGTACTTGCAATAACACATACTATGTTTTTGAAAAACCTACAGATCGTTAACTAGTGAAAAATATTTACTTAAACAACAAAGTCAGTCATAAATAACTCAGGTCCTAGTATAAATATAAATCGGTTCAAGATATCTTAGTTCATATAAGCCACACAGGATAAAATAACTAGCAAAACAAAATCTAAATAATTTAAAATAATAACATCCAAAGTTTTGGAAAATTGGACAAGCAAGTTTCAAAATGAAAATTGTCATCAACTATTCGCCAACATTACAGAAATGTACAGGCACTTAGGGGACGATCACAAATTGAACACCTCAGCCACTACACAAATAGATCAAAACAAATGCTCATTGACAGACTACGGCAAAATATATTAGACTGCTGGATGACCACAACTCCATATTCGATCACGTCATCATACGCATACACAAAATACATCAACTAAACAAATATCAGTCCTCAAAACACAACAACACATGTAGTACGCGGCCAACAATCTACGTCAATGTCCGTTCAATGGATGTGAAAAGATGCTTCGTACACTCAAAGGCATAATAAATCATTGCTATCTATTACATGGATGATCAGCGATCACTGAACAGGATACTAGGCCAAATTATAGAAAAACCAATTCCAAAAGTGATAATTGCGCCTCGGTAGTTGTGCTATTCTTCTATGTACACCTCTTCTCAAGAAGGAACTACCGGCTTCATCAGCTAAGTTTGACTGGAAAGGGAAACATGGCTCAAAATTAATGATAGATATTGACTCACAAAATTGATAATGAAACACAAAGATTTAGACGAAGACAACAAATATGCTTATTTGTACCACTGTTATTGACTTTAATAAGTCAGCCATATATTTGACTTCATCTTAACGACTTACAATTACAACTACGATACTACTATAAACAAAACACTTCATTTGTCAATTATTATCATAAGCATTATATTATAAGTTCAAGGATATTTATCTGTAGGAATATCCGTCCGCTTATAATTTTAACCTTAAAAACATCTCAATGAACAATTCATTCGTTGAATAAGATAAATTGAAATTTGCAGAGAAATGTTCAATGTGTCTCTGAAAGTTCTGATCATTAACCGAGTAAACATGAAAGTCCAAGTAACACTAAATTGTCATCTTTACTGAACATTTTATTTCACCTTTATATTCTCATTATTTCTTTCAATTAATATAACCTTTGTTAAACTTTCAATTCACCTAATTTTAAATATTTAATTTTATATAACAATAAAGAAAACATTATACAAACATTTAACAGCTTTCAAATTAATATCAACCGTAAATGTAATTAGATTAGTGGAATGAAATATATTTTTTCCCTTAATCTATGGTAAAACAGTTATAACATAATACATTAGCATATAACTATGATTCACAACATAATTTGGAGATTAGATGAATAAATAAAGCTTGTAATACTGTGGTGTATGTTGACAGATGTAAGCAGTATATGACACCAGTCGGAAATGGAATATTTGTGAGCAGAACGTTGAAAAGATTGAAATGAAGAAATTAGAAAATGAAACTGAAATCAATCAAGATAACAACAGGAATGAAGGAACCATAACGCCTGTAAGAGACAATTCAAAGAAGATGTACAAATGATGTATCTGATGTATGATTTTCATATTTTACTCAACCATTGTGTGATTCCTTTAATTTCATTTCTATACTTGTATTTCTTTTTCCTTTCTATGTTTTTTGGATTTAAAGGATAATTTAAATGACATCAGACATCGTTTATCATTACTACAAGATAATTATGCATCAAAACATTTACCATCATCTGTATCAAATAAAATTGAACGTGATATTGATGAACATTTGGAAAAACTCAATAAAGAAAATTCAATACAAAAGCAACATCATGATTTACCAACTAATCGAAAATCAACATATCAAACTATCAAGGGAAAATCATTAACTGATCAGAAAAAATCAGTTGATCATCAGTCTTTGAAATCGAAAACAAGTATTATCTTTTTTGTATTGTATTTTAAGTTATTTATTTTATTGTAGTAAACTAATTGAATAAAATGTTATAATATTACTTAATTAACTCTAAATATTTAGAAATTTAGAAAAGTTGGATAAACGTAGAAGTGTGAACTGATGGATTGACCTACAAGTTTTATAAATGTAGCCCTAGTGATATCTACCTATAATCATTTCTATAGGTGTATTTTATTAGATATATATATTAGCAAACTCAATATGCAGTGTAGAAGCAAGGATATATGTGAATCGTTTGAAGTTTATATATCTTATCAGCACAGCATGATGCAATTACCAGGGCAAATATCAAAGTAGTAGAACCAGTAACAATAATAGTGGTCGTACAAAAGACTGGGTACAAATGATATGGTCAGAGGATTAATTTGTGAAAGAAAAAATGTATGGTGATATTTTAATACCACTATGTAACGGAAGCTGAATGGTAATTCACTCATCATTCTGAGCCACTTGAACCAATGTTGTCAAAAATTGGTTACGATCATAGCACTGACCCTAATCAAGTAGCCTGCTCCTACTCATGCAGCTCAGTTCAAAAATAAATGATTTCACGAATGTAACAATATTTGACACAAGTTAATCGTGGTTAACTATCTTTACACTGTAAACAGTTTTAATTAACTTAATGGTTCAAGCAGAATTCAACATATGTACAAATCAAAGCGAAATTCAGACAGTAAATGATGAAAAACACCCTAACAATGAACAAACCACCTCTCTTAAGTAATAATCATGCCCTTGTTATTGACCAGTTTTAAAATAGACTTCTAAGAACCCCATGAAGCTGAGCTAGTTTTCACTGACAGTCATTTTATATAGTAGAATCCTTTGATGTTCCGTAGTTTCTAGTAGCTTACCGGCTGATGTTCGTTCTCAGTTATATTAAATTCACTAAAGAACGGAATGTCTTTATGTCTTAATCACTTTTATTATTTATCAAAATTGTCTATTTCAAATAATAATCAACTGGGTATCAGACTTTTCAGATATATGATTTCAATCATCTAACTTTATCGCTTTTAGAGTCACTTTCGGGTTCCACAGTCATTCTTATTTTCTATTAGGAAATTACCCTACTCCATATAGCTATTTACCATTAATAATCTTACAACTGAAGTCAATTTTTTAAGGTTATAAATACAATCTGAATCTGCGCTTTGTGTTGTTTGTTAAAGGTTGATAATAAATTTTTAAAAATACTAAAAAGTAACCTATTGAATTTCCTGTCGTATTATTTCATTACCACATCTTGTTCGATATCCTTAGCTGATAAAGTATCTGTTTTTTTATTTGTCCTTGGCAACAAAGGTAAACAATGAACTGTATTGTTTTTATTATTAATAATCAACTGAAATAATCGTATACAGTATTTCTGAGTACTCTTAGAAATCAAATGAAAGATCATACGAATCTATGAGAGCCATAATTGACAATCCTTACAAAGATTCATCCGCATTTCTAATGAGACTTATATTTTTTGATGTGGTTTTGAATCGTATAGGGAATACTAGTTCTCTTACGATGCCTCTAGCCATTAACCACTAGACAGGATAGTCAAAAATGTTATATAGCCAAATGGTCACTTTGCAACTTGACTGATAGAATTGAACCACTAATGAGTACTAAGCAACATGAAATTGATTACTTTTTAATTCGGACTTACCTTAGACCGTAATTTTTCAAGCAACTAGATGAATAGAAATCAATATTTAATAAATTATTCTATAATAGCTAGTTAGGATACTACCATTTAAATAATTTAAATAAAAAAAACAGCCAGGAATTAGCCAGTCAATGTAATTCCTAATGTTTTAAATATCTGAATTTGATTTTTTGTCTCTCCATTACACTACTAAATTAACTTGCATACAGAAGAATTTGTTATAAGTTCTTGTAATACTGTGGTGTGCTCAACTTATGTGGACAGATATAAGTAGTATGTAGTAGGGATAATTAGTAGAAGGCTTACCAGCATAAGATTGAAACAAATAGAACAAGGAGAAAAACGGAGAGCAATAGGAATAATAATAGAATTTAAAGGACAACTGAAGGAAGATATATAGATGATGTATTTAATGTATGATTTTCATATTCTACAAAGGTCATTGTTTGATTGTTTACTGCATCTGAGCTTTCATTAACTACATTACGTATTATATTAGTAATCAGGAAATAACAACAGTTCCACTTGTAAATAAACAATAGTATTTTACATAAATATAAGTTGTTTACTGATACTGCATCACTACATAAATGAAATATTTATTTCATGTTCATTAATGATTCTGTATGCTGTAAAGAATCATTTCATATGATACTACTTATTTTTTAGTTAACTAAAGAATTTACTCACTTTAGCTTAAGTTCATTTTCAATCGACTGAAATATGTCTAGATTATTCTTATATGATTCTGTTTGTTACATAAATTATTAGTGTAATATTTAAAACAATCCATACGTAATCATTAAACTCTGGGTTCGAATTCTTTTCATATTCAATATGATATATAGTTGAACTCAGACTAACATTGAAATGTTATTCAATCAATACCAATATCAAAACGATTGATTAAATGAGAATTATTTTCCCTGAAACTGATGTTAAATTTACAATTTATCTTGTTGTTTTTTTTCTTCTGTTTTTATTTATTTTTCAGAACCAACAATTACACAGAAACAATTTCAGTTAAATCAACAAAAAAATAGAAAAGTTCCAAAAGAAAAATTAATTCATTCATCTTATAATAAATTACAATTACCTAATAATAAATTAAAATGTGAAAATATAACAAAATCTTTAAATGAAAAACAAGATAAAAACTTAATAAAAAATATCAGCAATTATGATAATGGTGATGATGATGATGATGATGATCCTGAAATAACTTTGGATAAATTAGAAAAATATTTGGAAACTTCTGATATGATTATAGATTCAAAAGCTGAAGATTTAAAAACAAAAAAGTAGGCCCATTTAATATCAGAATGAGGTTTTTGTGGATATTATAGAAATTTCAATAGTTAATATCATGAGTCACTTGAATCTAGACGACCATGGAAAACTTGGAAGCACTGGACGGTTGTTTCGTTCTACTGTGGGACCCTCAGCAGTGCGCATCCACGATCCCACCTCGCTAGATCCAAACCCAGGACCTATCAGTATCTCGCGCGAGCGCCTAACCTCTAGACCACTGAGCCGGCCGGCATTCAACAGTGTTAATGTCTAACTTCAACTAATCCACGAAATTGAGCGACAAATCCATCATTGCCTTCAGTGAGTTACTATCTCACAACAGACCCGATTGAATTCCACTGGTCACTGCTGCTTACTAGAACTCCAGGATATACCTCTTGAAGCCAATCACTAATGAGCATATGTAGATTAATATCCGAAGGGGTTTTTGTGGATATTATACTAATTTCAATAGTTGAGATCATGAGTCACTTGACATTTAATGACATAACCATTGATGTTAAATGATGTATATCGTTTATGTTAGTAATTTTAATATTTTAGATAATAAGTATGTTACGAAGCTTTTCACTTATTGATGTCTTTTGTTTTTTTCATCACTTTTTCTAAGTTTTAAGTAGAAGTACATTGATTTTGCTCTTTCACTTTTTACAATTCTGTTGATTAATTAAAAATTCAGTCCTAATCAACATTAAACCCTGAAAGAAATACACATTTCACCCAGTTGTCACATCATATTATTAGTTGTCCCTTGGACACTATGTTCACTTTCCTAGATAGTCTAGGTCACTTTTAACTAAATTTTATTTTTAAATACCTCAAGAAGAAGTATCTTTCCATGGTCTGCGTAATCAAGAAGTGGCAAACACCCCTACGTCCTCTCCATCGATATATAAGGTCAATGTGGACTTTGGTAGTGAATAGAGATAGGTTTTTACAACCTCTAAACATTCATTCATACAGTGACTAGCCATTGAATAGCGAATAATGTTACACTATATGATATTTTTAATTAATTAATTGAATACGCTGAATTATAAAGTTGATCATTGACTGAAGTGATCTAGTTATTTGCTGTCCACTAGAATAACGATTGAAAGTCAAATGTGGGCAGATAGTATTTCATAAAACAACGGGTTTTTGTTTTGTCGTACCGTAAGCTTTCTATTTGATGTCTTTATGTTAGTAAAAATCGGTGATTGGATACCTTAGATTTAATAATTTAAGAGATTAATGGTATTTATCACCCAATACATTGAACAGGTTTTAACTTTTTACATATTTATCGATCTTTTCGTTTATAATTGTATTGTTTAACTAAGTATGTTTTTTTTTGTTGCTGTTGGGATTTCTGTCCTGTTTATCTGCATTTTTGATCTAATACTGTAAAAATTTTATTTTACTATACTCGTTAGTACCGAGTTATTACTGAAGCTTTGAGTGATTCACATATCATTATTACTAACATTTCATCATGAATTTTATGAATTTATACTTTCCTAAAGACTTTTACAACCTCTCAATAAATACATTGACTAGAGGTAAATGTATTTTTAACTTACATATATATTAGTTGTTGCACAAAATTACAGAATTGATAAATGAAAATATCTAATTAATTTTTTTTCTTAACCATCTAAGAATTTTCTTAAATTTTTATTGTATTGAAACACTGATAATATGAATAAAGTATATTCTTTCCAGTAAATCCTCATCATATTCGACAGTTGTACGTCTAAATGAATAATCCATAAAGTAAGTAACTTTAAGGTAAATACATAGCTTAAAGTTATGGTGCGTACATTTGGAATTGTTTGTTAAATTAAAATAAATTTCTTAGTAACAAAATAACTAATAAAAATGTTAATTTAAGTGAATTTACACAAGTTAAATGAAATTATGAAGCCATGATCAGTGGAGTTCAATCCATGTTGGGAGTGAGACAGTTATCAATTTCAGACAATGGATGAAGGGTTGCGAAAGATCATGGATTAATTGAAGTTAGATATTGACACCTTTGGATGCCGGTTCAATGGTCTAGAAGTTAGGCCTTCGCGCCCGAGATTAAAGGTCTTGGATTCGAGTCTCGAGTGTAGGATTGCGGATGAACACTACTGGGGAGTTCCACTCTAGGATGAGATGGCCGTCTAGTGCTTCCAGGTTTTCAATGGTGGTCTAGCTTAGATTAATTAATGAACTCAACTGTTAAAATTACTATAATCTTCACAACTCCCCATACTGAAAATAAAGATTTATTATAACAATGATGACAATTTTAAGACATACTAATGACCAATAGTCTATTTGGTTTCTTATCGTTAATATTTCAGTACTCAACAAGAAGCAAAACTGGACGAAACAAAAGAAATGGTGAATGAACTTCGTTCAGTTTATCGAGAAATAAAAGACTTATTACTTGTAAGTTTTTCTTCTATTGAAAATAACTACACTTCTGGGTTTATTTTATTTTTTGATTTCAACACATAAATACTGGTACAAGGGGCACCAAATATATATGCGCCACACCATATTTGTGTGTGTGTGAGCTGTGATACTGCCCGGGAGCCCAAACCGAAGCAGGTGGTTTCCATAGGGGGGCCACACCCAGAACCTTTGACCTAAAGGTCTGATCCATAAGGCAGTGGAGCATCGTGAGGAGATGCAGTCCCATGGGAGCCGCTGACCAACAATTGGTTCATACGCCATTTGTTCCCGCAGGATACCGTATCCCATATGCACCATTGGTTTGGGATCCGGTTAAAGCGCCGGACATTCGCTTTTCGTTCTCTCATTTTTGTAAACAACACCCCCGCCACAAGAAGGCAATGAGTAGGACTTCCCTGGCAGAGGCTGTATACGCGTGACCGTGTGAGAGCATTTCGAGAGGGAGGGAGGGCCCACCCCACTGTCGGTCATACCAGGGCATTTGGGGGCTACACTTCTTGGTGGTTGAATGTATTCCTCAGGAAATTCTGAACCACCTAATATCTCAATATATTTAACACGATATGAGGTTGCATAAACTGATAGTCATATTGTAACTATATCAGTTGAATTATATTAGTACTAAATGAACCAGCTAAACACTTGTCAAACCCAGGGCATTATTTAATTACTGTCGTCTTTTTTGAAAACGTGATGCTTGACTAACAAAATTTACCTAGAATTTTCAAAGAAAAACATTTGTAATATTGTCAGTATGAAGTTGTGGAGGCTATTGAAATCGCGAGCATATCTAAGCCAAATAACCATTGAAAACCTTGAAGCACTTAAAGGGCATTTCTTTCTAATAGGATACTTTTCAGCAGTGCACATTCACGACTGCACAGCCAAGAACCAAACTTAAGATCTTCACTCTCGCATACAAACTTTCAGCTATAGACCACTGTGCTGAGACCAACGATGCATTATAGTATAATGTATATATTCAGTAATTGAGTTCCTTTATACATTTAATATTATTTGACATTTAATATATTCAGGATAATTTATTAAAACGTTTAAATCATTGTTCAAATAATCACTGATTATCTTGCTACTTCACAGTTCACTCAATTGATTTTCATCTTTTGGAAATTTTATCAGTTTTATACTCATGATAATTTTTTTTCAGAATGTTCGTAATCGAATTGATGAAAACAACAGTATGAAATTAGAACAAACAGAGAAAATTGATACAGTGAGTTAAAATGCCATTTTTACGATGTTTCTTTTCTAATATTTTATTACAAGTATGAAAGTGTAATTTTTAAAAAATTATCTAACAGACTAATATCTAAAGGTGACTCTCACAAAAAATTCAAGAATAATTTGGTTGTAGAAGTTTGGATTTTCCAGTTGTTGATGTAAAAGACTGCAATTAAATCATTCTCTTCACTTAATTGTACATTCCTAGAGGATTGCTTTGATAATATTATTGAACATCTACACTGGGATGAAGATTCATCCAGCTGAAAGGTTTCAAATAGGATAGAACGCGCTTCCTAGATTCCACTGCTAGCTATTATTCAAATCAGTTTAGAAAAGTGTTAGAAGCAAACTCAGAACTCAATTAATTGGTATTCAATGGTACATTATTTCATTTCTAGTGAATTTAAGATATAACCTAATCTTGATGCAACATCAATGGTGATTTATTCAACTCTCATTGAACTTTTTAGACACTTCACACATCACAGATTTCTCAATGATTCTCACTGAGTCACCAAATAGCATCGGTTTGGGATCTTATCAAGCATTGTTAAACTGAATAAAATATTCGCAAAACCGTCTAAGTACATTCATGAAATTATATGACAAATGTTTTAAATATGAGACATATTCATAAGATGAAATCGTAGAGCAATTTGAAACAACGTATAGCCATTTGATGTATCACATAAATAACCTACATATTTACTTACTTATTTATGAACTTGCGCACTTAATTAATTAATTACTTTCTCTCATTAACCCTTGTGGAGAAGCATAGTCCACCTACCAGGATTTTCTATCGAACTCTGACCTGGGCAATCCTTCCCAGTTGCAATTCATCCTTTCATGTCTACTTTCAATTCCCCGTCTAATGTGTTCCTTGGTCTTCCTCATTCCCCTTCAGCTGGAAGTTGATTTGTTTCGTATCATAGTAGGTTGTTGCCGATGATATTTGGCCAATGGATCTGAAGTATCTTGGATAGACACTTGTGAAAAAATACCTGTACATTTTTGCCAATTGTTATAGTAGTTCTCCAATTTTCAGCGTCGCACAATAGAACCGCCTTGCTGTTCGTATTGAAGCTTCTGACTTCGATGTTGGTTGACAGTTGTTTTGAATTTCACATGTTGCTGTTTCATATGATGCTTTTCAGATAAGTGAAAGTTTTCATCTCTTCCAGAGCTTTTTCATCTAGTGTGATTTATTTGGTGTTCTCTATGTTGTGTTTCGCAATCTTGATTTTTCCCCGTATATGTTGTGGCTGACTGCTGTAGAAGATACTGCTACACTGGTTATCTTGACCTGCATTGGTTGGTTTGTATGGGATAGAAGAACATGGGTATCAGCGAAGTCTTAATCGTCTAGTTGCATCAAAGCTTTTCATTGTATTCCGTGGTTGCTTTGAGATGTGGAGATCTTCATTGTCTAAGATCAATATGTCTTGTAATATGAATGCATCAGGCACTTTTTTATTCGATTTATCTTCATGATAAATTATCTTTCTAGAATACAAACTCAAACACCTTACTGTCAAACTCCCAACCTGTACTTACTCCTGGTACTTTACTTCCAAGTATTCGACTTGCAATGGAATATTCTGGTAAAACAATTTCACCTACAGATGATATAACTCAATTAATATCTACTTTACCTGATGATCCTCTTGTTAAAGCTTCAACTGCATTGTATGAACTTAATCGACGACGTAATAATCTAGAGAATAATCTTGCTGCATTAGAATCTTCACATAATGATCAATCGATTTTCGGATTACTTGATTTATTAAATAAAGATAAGTGAGTGTATTATATATTGTACATAGATACGTATATAACTGATTTATTTACAAAAATAAATTTTGTCAAATGCTATTAATAACTATGACTCAACGTTTTAGTACTCAACATAAAATCTCAAGATATTCAATGTAGTCCTATTTTAGATCGACAGTGTAAACTATTGACATGTGTTGCAAACGAAGACAAATCAGTATCTCATTATTTCTTGATTTTCACTGAACCTATTTTGAAAGAAAGCAATTTACGGTATTCTGAATTATTGTCTATAAAAATGTAACAGCAATTTTTGAGGTAATAAAAAATAACTATCTGATAAAAAATTCAATGCTGAACTAATCTTTCTTATTAACAAAAGATAATCGTCTATTTAATAAATATAAATGACGTTAACACCGAAATAATACATAACACTAACAATTTGTGATAAGTCTTGCGTATTGAACGCTATATTCGTCTCCTAAGCTATTCTGTAACCCCTAAGCTAGAACTAGACAGCGACCTGAACAACGAGAGAGAAGACGCAAAGTATGCAAGAGGTACTTTACTCCAAGGTTCATTTTAATACAGAAAATACAGGGTTTTTATAATACTTTAAATGTCCTTGGGTTGCTAGAAGATTTTGGAGTGCTACTAAACATAGTAGCAGTGTAGCAATCAGCTAATCAGAACCTCTGTATGTGACATTTCACTTCCTTGATATTTTCGGCTAAAACTTCAAGTGAACGCTGATGAAACTCTTCCTAGTGTTTCCTGATGCTTGCTTGTCTTTTGCAAGTAATTTTCTGGATCACTTCAACAATTTGCAAAATCAAAAGGAATTTTAAGACCACTATAGAAAAAAACTAAACATAACTCTTTTGTACACAAAAATCAGGTTTGAACTAGTCAAAATGTGTGCACGACTAAGGCTATTACAATCCATTATTTCAAACCTGATCTCCGTGCACAACAGAGTTCTGTTCAACCTCTTATTGTATCATGATCTTAACATCCCTTCTAAATTCACAGACTGACAGTTTCAATTATTGCTTTATTCACGACAAATTAGGTTTCAAACAAAACTGAGTTTTATAATCAGAGATGATGGTGGCTAGCTGTGAAATCCAGGACGCATGTTTCGTTCTACTTGGGACTTGTCAGCTGGATGTGTGTCGAGACGCGCGTCATGGATTCCAATGTTAGTCATCGTTATCTTCGCTTATATTGCTTGTAATTTAAGGTAATATTGAGACAATACGTACAGTATGTGCGTAGTATGTACATATGCCAATAAGAGACTGATCAATTGCAGTCCTAAACATCATTTGGAAGATTCAAACAATCAATACAAAAATGAAATCAAACTAAGTTTTACTTAAAAATCATTCTCTTTTATATAAACAAAATAAAATATAATTGGACCAGTTTCTTTGTTGAAAAATCCATCAATATCTTGCATTCTTCCTTATCTTTAACTGTTATAAATGTATTTTAAACACGTTTCCCAACATGTATAGTCTTCCAAAGGAATTTGATTATTGCTGTAATCTAAAACTTGAGGACAAAGTGAACGAATAATATCTCCTCATGAAATCATAATAGATATCTCAATTCATAGAAAGAGATTTAATTTGAAATCGAGATAATCATTTCTTGATATTCTCCCAAGTTTATTAATTTATCGTGTATATATTTGAAGTACTGATTATGTATTTTAAATTAAATGAAAATGTGGTTTCTAACTGAACGGTTATGATTAGCTATCAAACAATTACTGAACGTTTGTTAATTAAAAAGTAGTTGGATGATTCATGACAGCACTGATCAATTGTTTCGCCATCATTTGAAACCTTTGGGTTAATAATGATAAACAGGACAATAGTTACGCTATATCTTGAACTGAGTGTTGGTAGAATTTCAAACCACCTTATTCTGACTAACTCATTTAAATACACTGCTCTCTTTTCGAAATTACGACGGCAAATTTACAGAATCCTGAAGATTGCTCACTAAGTTGGTGATGTGTAGGTAAGAATGATAATGATCAGTTGTTTGCTTAGTCAGACTATAAGATAGTCTGACAAGTACTAGATGAGTTATATATTCTCTTACCCTTATTATTACTGTGATTGTTGTCGGTTTTTGGTGTGGAAAAATACTTACGTTCTAGTTATGCTAGTCACGTGTTCTTGATCTGAGTTGTGTTGATGTCCTGTAGAATAAACACTAGGAGGGATCTAGTGTAGATATTCGTCTAAGGCGAATTAGCGTCCTACTCGTGTAGACGGTAAACCGAGTGTTATAAAAGTTGGATTTTCCAATTCCATCCTTTCTTCAACTGATTTGAATGATAAACACTGTCTATCATGAGATGGTTGGGAGGAATTGAAACTCAGAAGTATGGTTTGGTTAGAGTTGGATTGAATAGTCGGTTAATATCAATCACTTTAAAGAGTCATGAACAACTGCAAGGTTAAACATGAATAAGGTTGAACACAATGAAAATCCAAAATAAATATGCAAACATTGACATAACAAGGAACATCATTAACCGATAAAAATCAACGTTTACGGAATAACCTACTAGTCAAATGTGTGAACAGTTTATCAGCCAACTTTAATCCAAAGTTTGTGCTAATGAACTTACTTCTAAAGACAACATAAAACCGTCCAGCTAGGGGAACGCAGCTTCACCAAAACCGCCTGTCTCATAATAACGTTTATGTATAAATTTCAATAACTAACTTGTATACTTTGCTGTTTGTTTGATAATATATAACCTTTTGTTCAGGTCATCAGCGGAGAAAGCTCGCATACAAGCTATGATAAATGACGCAATTGAGAAAGTTGTTCATGATAAAGTAAGTTTCACGATTAGTTTGACATATAAACTTCTAGTCTCCGGTACATGCTTTTCATTGTTTACTGAAGCTTTTCTGTGTATAAGTTACAAACACTAAAAAAAACAAAAGGATGAGTTGAATTAAGTGGTTGAGATTCATGAAAAGTACTCAGTAGGGCCATTCTACTGAAAGTTGTCATGAAAGTGCTTTGAATTGCAACAAGATAAAAATTTAATTATTACAAAAAAAATAACTAATTTAGTGGAATGACATGTTCCGTTTATGAAAACAGTCCAAAGGCAATTTTCTTACCATTTTCAAATGAATAATATAATTATCTGGCAAAGTCAACTTCAGTTTCTTATGTAACTTAGCTCAGTAATAAATAACCATGTTACATACTGTCACTTTTTAGTTGATCTTATGTAATCGAACTCATTATTCTACTGACATAAGTCGTTACAGAAGAGTGTAAACAACAATGAGTTTTTAAATCACAGAAACTCCCGATTTTCTGTTCTGTACTTTTAAATTATTCAATGTCTTGATCAAAAATAAATTTTCTTAACGAAAGTTTTCATCACGGTTGGTGGATCTATTCTAAACACGAAATTCATCTTTACTTAAGTATAATAAAAACATACTACTAACTTATATATAGTAACTTAAAAGGATTATCAAAATTACCCAACGTTAGATAACTGTGGACCCATTATTTTGATCCGGGACATGTTTGTCTCTGTTTAAATGATACGATATACCACAGACATAGTGAAACTAAATATGTTGCCGAAACGCCTATAGATAAATTTTCTATATCGTTAGTAAAACATATCGTGGTAAGATTCAAGATCCCCAAAATTAAAGAAATTCATTTCTCTTCAAGTAATAGTGGTTAGTGTATATTCAGTTTTATCTGTTTCAGTTGGTGAAAATTTGATGAATGGAATTTGCAAAATACTCATTTTCGCTGTGACTTATCCTTATAGAAATCAGAAAAAAACAACAGATCAATTGGCCGCATTTCACGACTAACTCAACCGAAATCTCAATTAACCACTCAACCAAAACAAATGAGGGACACATCAAGTTCTTGTAGTTCCCCAACGAGGTCAAGAAATGTGATTGATTTATTTCATCAACCTAAATTATACTCTACCGATCGTTCTCCGTCACCAGTAACGCTTACGTCTCCATGGCGTTTGAATAGACGAAGAGCTAAACGACCATTATATCCACGTTCAGTTAATGATCCCGTTAGGCCACGGACAGCTGTCCTACGGTTAAGTGATGAAAATCTAACTGGGAGTAGGTTCAGACACTCAATTTTGTCCAGAGTTATAATTAAATTACAAACTTACTTAAATATCAAGTATATAAATCTAGAAAATTTTAATATCTTATGTTTTGGTCAATTGTACTCACTTATCACCAGTAATTTATATCATGTGTCATATCACTTAACTAAGTGTTAACAGTTATTTCTTTGTGGAGATTTTACTATTTTCACAGTCGAAGTCACGAACTGACTTTAGTTAGACCACTATTGAAGACCTGAAAGCACTGGATGACTGCTCCGTCCTAATATGAAACTCCTCAGTAGTTCTCATGCATGATCCCACACGAAAGAATCGAACTTAAGACCTGTTTCGAGTCCTAATAGGTAACGTCTAACCCACTAATCTGGCATCAAACGGTGTTGATTTCTGACTTAAATTAGTTATTTTGCGTAACTCTTCATTCACTGCCTGCTGTAGATAACTGTCTAGGTTTTCAATTGTGGTCTAGCCAAGATCAGTATGTGAGCTCAACATTGAATGTACTACAAATCACCCATGCTAATAATAGTCATGTGTTCGCTAGTGACCTCCTTCAAGATGTTACTCCTGAGGTTCTGGTGAGAAGTTGTGACCAGTGGCGTTCAATCCGTGCCGGGGTGAGATAGTTATCTACCCCAAGCAATGGATGATGGGCTGCGCGCGATTATGAGTTGATCGAAGCTAGATATTTATTTCTTTAACAAAACGGTATTGTGGTGCATGCTAATTGTGTCGACTGATATAAGTTGTATTTAACATAAATCAGGAGTCGAATGCCTGGCAGCAGGAAGTTGAGCAGACCGAACTAGGGGGAAAGGGAATGTAAACAAAGAGTAATTGTAATCATAATGAGTAACGACATAATATGAAATAGTTGATGGAATATTTGCAAACGATGTATTTAATGCATGGTTTTTCAGATTTAACGAAAGAACTGTAATTTCGCACTAAATAATAGATTGGTTGTCCCCACCTAATTGCTCGTTCGCTACAATATGACAGTTACTTAAATTTCAAGTAATCGTGAAAGAATAATGTTAAAATGATTCAAATTTACAAAAGACTTACTTTAAAGATGTTGGACTCTATTGAATCGAATAGAATAAGAGTTTATGTAATCTTGACATAAAGAAGGACAGAAGTATAGTATAGAACTAAAACAATGATTTGGTTCATATTACATACATCTTATTCATTCATAATGCAAACGAGATGTAAGCAAACAAGTTTCAATAGATTGGGCTGGTCATTCAGATGATATGTAAAGCGATAAAATGATACTACATGATAACAGTATAGTTATGGGTTCACTATCTAACAAATAAAAGTCACCACGACTGCCGATTTATGTAAACACAACTTTACAACTGTTTGAATAGAAGTCGTTTAATAAAAAGTTTTGTTCTTTGGAGTGTTTGCTTTTATTGGTTGTCAGGGCTATAACAAAAATAGTAGTTAGTTAACCAAACTAAGCGAAATGATTAAATAACATATGACTTATTTGTGTATTCAGACAACTAGTGAATGTATATAGACGTAATCTTGTGTGTCATGTGTGATGAAATAAGTTTATGTCGTAATAACTTCTCCCCGTTCTGTATTTATGTCAATATACTTGTGATTATTGATAACTGGTTCTATACCTAATATGCACCAATGTTACACTTGATTTGACGGTTGGATTAATCTTTCTGTGATCATGTAATCTGGAATGACTCCCGTTATAACAATAAAGCAAATACATCTTTAATAATTTTTTTATCATTTCAAATGTTATCTGTAATTATTATTTTCCTCTGGTAGAACTAATCTTTAGTTATTCCTAAAATAAGTAAACCAGTTAACTTTTTACTGTACTGTCTTAAAACAATTATTGATCTTTTCAACTAAATAACTTATACTATTTAACTATATTATCTCTAGCAAACACTGTTCATGACCAATATATAAGATATTTGTTTTAATGCTAAACTACATCAGTACTAATTTTTTTAAATAAACAACTCTCAGGTTCAACTATGAAATACGAGTCTACGATTCAGTAGATTTAAATAATATGGTAAACATTTTCAATTTTTTTAATTATATTTCTCAGTTAATAAAATACTGTCAGAGTGAACATCAACTCTGAGATGCAAGTACATCCAGTTGACGAGTCCCAAATAGGATGAAACGCACGTCCTGGATTCCACTGCTAGCAACTATCTATCTTTGCTTAGAATGCTTGTGAATTAAGGCTATATCGAGGCAATATGCATAGTATGTACATGTGCTAATAACAGACTGATCAGTTGGCAGTCCTAAACATCAATCGAAGATTCAAGTAAATAATACCAAGTGAACTGTCATCTGCATATGTTATATCTATAAAACTATTACAGTTACAAATGATCATATTCATTTTCTATCTAGTAAACAATGTGTACTCAATTAAAAACTAATACTACTTTTTCTTTGTTTTGTAATTTTAATTCCTTTTTAAAAAAAAATAGTTTCTTCTTCACAAAGACGAATGCAAAGATCTAATTCAAAAGTTGTACGATTTAGTGATCATCAAAATGATGAAACAATGGAATCAACTACAGAACCACAACAAATACAATCAAATAAATATATTAATATGCAAGCTAAAATTTTCACAAAACCAAACTCAGGTATAATTCCATTAGGTATGTATCAATATTCACTTGCAATAGGACCTAGTAAAAAATATAATAAAGAAGATAAGGTAATTAATAATTCAATTGTGTACTAATTTTATTTTCATTAGTGTCCACATATAATATTATTAGTTGTCTTATTATCAATTGATTTTATTTCTTCAATTTATATCAACTATGAACATTTCTGTTTTAATATTCATTGTAGTACGTGTATTTTAATTAGGTAAAATGAACAATTGTTTTCTGTTATTTTGAAGCTTGATAGATCTCTTTCAAACGATATTAAAGGCATCCTGTAGCCCGACCGTTGTTGCTACCTTGACGTGGTGGTCGGGCTTGCCTGCTGTGATGAAGCGACCGAGCTATACTGGCTGGAACAACCGTTCCTCAAGGTCCTACCATGTCAGACAGGTCGGTTGAAGAGCGGTAAGACTAAAAGCAACAAACCCAAGGTCCGAAGGCGAAGTCGTACTGCTGACTGTACAGAGGTGCGACAGCAGTAAGGTGTTTCCTTCAGACAACCAGCATGACAGCGACGCTGCCTTCTCACAAGGAAGGGGTGGGGTTAGAAAAGGTTGACCCTAAAAGTGCACACCTCACCTTATCCCACGGATATCCGTCTCCGGCGGTAAGGTCTCAACAAGTACGGAGCTAACACAAAAATTACCCATAAAACGGTCGTGTGTGGCCGACCCCAAGCAGTTGTCTTTTGGGCACTGCGGTCACGCTCCCAGGTCACTAAGGCCACCTCTAATCCAATTTCCTTCTCAGGTACCTTAGAAGAACCCTTCCATGGTGTGGGCAACCGGGAAGTGATAACCGCCCTCATACGTCTAACAGCACTCAAGACCACTGCATCCTGTAGTATAATTGACTATAACAGCTGAATTCACTAATCGATCTAAGCCATACTGCCACCTCAGACAATGAATGAAGGGTTGCACGCTCACGTATGGAACCGAAGGTTCTGGGTTCGAATCTTGAGTGTAGGATCGTGTATTTGCACTGCTGAGGAGTCCCACACTAGGCCATTCAGTAATTTCAGGTCTTTAGTGGTGATCTAGCGTAGATTAACTGTGAATTCAACGGTTAACATACTATAACCTCCACAAACCCACATCCTGATATAATTGATTGAAATTTTAAGAAAGTTTCAAATCGGTTTAATTCTATTCTATATGAAGCTTATGGATCTCAGATCTAATCTCATACATGTTTGACTAAAGTGCATATCTTTAGACAATTTATATTTGAATATAAAACTGACTCAACATGGACATCAAGAGAACAGCTACATGAAATAACTTAGCAATACTAAGAAGGAATAGACAAAGTTAGTAATATAGAAAGGGTATTAAAAGTAAATGACTATTTTTATGGTTTTCTATTTGAAAAGTACTTTGTGATGTGTTGAACTACTGAATCACATGATAACGTTTGGTCAACTTTCAAAGTTAAGTATGGAATTTGAAGTGAAAAGTACTGGGTTGAAATCTCAGTAACATTATAAATACGGTTTCAAGTAGATTAGGCTAGCAAGTTACGTATGGGATGAAATACGCTCTAAAATCCTACTACTGTCCATCATTCAATATATAATAAACTTATTAACTCTGTATGCCAAGATGTTATTCGTTTTAGGATCATTCATCTAATATAGGAATCACATGACACATTTAAAAACAATAAAGCTCAATACACTCCATGGTAATTACTTTCGATTTCAATTATCATGGATAAAAAATTATCAATATTGTTTTTAAGCGTATAGTATGTCAGATCAGTCCCAATGTTAAACTATACTGTATAGAATCCGTCCAAGTATTCTAATTGAATATTTCAGTTGTGTATGACTCTTAAGTGCTAAGACGAATTTCTTCCTAGAATACATAATTATCAATAAAAGAAATATAAAGAATAAAAGGATGAACAAAGCAAATAAATATTACTTCATTCTGCTTGTCATTCTTTGTAATAGCGAGGTAAACAGTATTGTTTGCAAATGCCTTAATAAAGCATCACAGATGCGAACAGTAACAAAATCCCCCTTTCAAATGATTTGATAAGAATTAAATTAATGCATACTATGACTTAGGGGATATCACATAGCCGCATCAAACAGGTACTATCAATTAACAAGAACAAATCAAACACTATGTTCAAAAACTCTGCTCAATAACATATATGGTGTGAACTTAAGCTTCTGATATACATGCGAATTGTAATGAGTCCTAAAATCAAATATGGTTGGTAGTGACATGAACTATTGAATGTCAATAAGTAGGATGCACAAATAAGCTGACTAAAGAGAACTGTGGTCAGTTAGTTCGAAAAACATGTTTAACATTTTGACTTAAGCAATCAACCGATATTTGAAAAAAACTTGACTGATATCTTTTTCAGAAAAGTTTATAAGTAAATCTGGAACTATTTTTATTTAAACAACCCATTTCAGTTCATTGTTTTCCTTTATCTTTCTTCTTAGCTAATTTCTACTGATACATCTGGTTTACTTCATGAAAAAGGCACTGGATTTTATTTTCAGTCAAATCAATCAACTGAACAACCTTCAAATAATTTCAATGCCTTATCTCGTACGGAGTTGGAAGATAATATTTTATCACGTCTTGTCTTACAGATCTCTGATCAGTTAGCTAAAAATCAATCGCAAAGTCATGGTAAGATATTGATAGATGATTATCGAGGATTTCAAACATTCGTAAGAAATCTCGCTAAGGACTGATTTTTACCGAAAACTTATTGGATGGTTTTCTCACTATATTCCAATTTGGCTAAATTTTTAAAATGCAGAGCATGTGATTCTTATTAGGTAGTCAATTGAAATCATTCTTATCACAGGTCTTCAGCATTCTGAGTTCAATTTTTGTTCATCCAATGTTGAAATGTTCTGAATAAAGACGAAATCGTTTTTAGTAATTTTTCTGATTGGGTCGATGTGTAATAGAATACCGTTGCCGATGAAGCGGTGTATTTGATATTTTCTTGAAACAGTCGAGCATGGTAAAGTAATGATTCAGTAGTTTAAACATCAAGTCGTTCGCCATGAAGTAGCAGACCCAAACTATGCTCTGAGTGTTTAAGTTTCAATTTTTTATTTTCAAGAAATATTAATAAGCCTAAACCTACTACATTATTCTGCTCACTGAATTTTTGTAAATGAAATCTAGATGAAAATTACTGAACAATAGGCCTTCCATCAGTTAATTTGGTGATAAATATAGTCATTGTTTTTTTCTTAATATTAAAAAAGTTTCATTAAGGGGTTTTAAAAACGGTTGACTTTCATTGAGACCATGAACTAACTTATGTAAGATCACTGTAGGGGCTCCTCAGCAATGCTCAATCACAGCCCCACACACAGAAAAATGGTCACACAATGGCGTGGATTGATTGAAATTAAACACCAACATCATCGATTGCTGGCTATGTAGTTCAAAGGGTAAGCGTTCTCTGAAGGCTTTGAGTTCGACTTTCGGCTGCATAGTCGTTGACCCAGATTCCTAAGAAGTCCCACACTAGAACGAAACGGCCGTCTAGTGCATCCAGGTCTTCAGCTGTGACCTAACTTGGGTCGGTTCATGATTTCAAATAAACAACGAGAATTTATTGAATCACGTGGAACTTTTGTTTTGTTTTCTCAAACCTAGACACTTCATCCAAAGAAAATTTACAACATTTGGTTGAAACTGCACTATTAGAACGTATTGGATCGATGCTTTCTCCAGCATCAGTTAGCCCTAATCCAACTAATCAACTACTACGAACAGAACAGCAACAACTCAAAACACCGTCTTCATCACCTGACCGGACTAGTCATTTAGGTCTACTGGATATTCCTACTCCGATGGATAGTATAAATAAGAGTGAATTACCTTATCCAGATGATTTTGTTCACACAAAGAGTAAAGTAAGTAACAATCATATAATATATATATATATATATATATATATATATATATATATATATACATTTTCGTATTGTATGTTGGTCTATATTTTGTACTTGTCGTATAAATAATATTAAACTCTGTTTTTTATTCGTTCTTTTGATGATCAGACACCAGAACCAAAATCAAATTGGCAACCATACAATCCGGATGAAGAAAGTATTTTTAGAAATCACGATCACCACCAACTAATCCCCATCATATTTCTACACCTGAACCATCATTTGCAGATAATTTCAGTCTTCGATCCAAATTACGTTCTCAATCTTCAAGTCCTATAAAGTAAGTCAATAATTTATATTGTCTTCATTTCTTCTCTTAGTTGTGATCAGCTATATGTATTTAATTGCATCTTAGTTAAGATTCAGTGTCAGCAGAACATTCAGACATCCTATCTTCTATGGATGGCCTTCACACACCTGATCTAATACACACAACTATCATACCATAACGTATGCACCCATAAAGATGTGAGATTAAAATTACCCACTCATCACTTAAACTTGTCTCTGTAGTGTTCATTTTTACCAGTAAGAGTAGTCAAATTTCAAATCAGTCATGTAAATTGGCTGCATAATCCCGAAAAATGTATAATATGAGACTTGGTTTGGTCGCCAGATATAATTGAAATGCATAATTCTTACAAATTTTCCACTGTCTTATTTATTAGTCGTTCAGATCAATGTCTCGAGAATGGGTGGTTTTCAAGAAAATCTTTTCTCTTTGTTTTCGATATTCGAAAAGTATTACAACTCTGACTGTGATAATGTATGGTGAAGTTGTTTTCGCATATCCAAATTCAAAAAGCCTAATTAAAATCTTGTAAGTCACGTCATGGATCTGTGGTGAACTAAATATTGATCAGCCGCCATAATACATGTATGCCAATTAATATATCACAAACGAATTTGATGTATAGATAATTATTTCTTTACTTTATGTCGTTCTTTCTTAAAAATTTAATACGGAGTTCAACAACAAGGTAGACTGTCTAAATTTGCAAATGGCACTTCATTATCATTTTGAAAACATACATTCATACCCTGTGCTCTCTGTTTAGGTTTGTCATTCATAACATTTTGATGTAAAAATCACTGTGAATTACTGCAAATAAACTCTATATAAAATGCCTCACGTATAATAGTAGGTACACAACTAAATCTCTCCATCGCTAAAGGCACATAGTAATTAGTCAACAATACGACGAAGATATTACTAAGATCTGAGAACGTGTCATTTCACATAAAAATTACATCTAATTAGTCAGTACTATCACAGAGATTTTCAAAAACAAACAATAGCAGCGGATTAGGATGGTGATGAAGTTATATTTTATCACTTGCATATGCACATTAACGTGGATTTGTCATAAAAGAAGTTACATTCAACTCTGTTCTCATTTATAGAGTTTCTTTTCATTCCTTAAATGTTTGTTATCTCGTTTAATGGATCCGTTTCTTGGTATCTCGAATGACTAAATGTTTTGTTTTTATATTAAGATTACTTATGATACACTCAGTAGCTTATACTGACATGACCAATAGAATATTGTTCAATTGTTGAGATACTTTGCACTGATTAAATATATCCGTTTTATTTTAATAAACAGACAAAAATCCGTTATGATTTCACCATTCCCATCAAGTCCACAAAAATATCCATCTGAGAAAAATGTTTCTGAGAAATCAGCTGGAATTTAATTCACAATCACTGAATTCCAATTCAACTGCTTTAATTGATACAAAAAGCTCATCATTTACTGAACAATTCAGTCTCACTGCACCAGATACATTCAGTGATGGAATGTGGTTATTAGATCGTTCCGAAGGTGAAGCACCATATCCAGTGCCATATAATAAATTGAAATTAATTATGTCTAATATGGAACCAATTCGAAGTTCAACAACGAGAAGAAATGTAAGTCATTCTATATTAATAAATATTCAAAAAGTTATTTGTATTGCTAAATCCTACAGAAATGACAATAACTTCAGTGATAATAAGCTAAATACAAAGATGAAATACACTTAATTTAATTTGTAGTCGTGATTTATAGATGCTTCATCTGAGTTACAGATTGATTTGATATGTTATGATATATTATATTGAAATTAAGTAGGCTTACAAATGACTGATTATGAAATAAGTTTCACAACGTTCCAATGGAAAGCCGTGATTTGTGGAGTTAACCAAGTGTTAAGTGGTTAAAGATAGCCTCCAAGATACCCTAGACCTAGGTTTCGCGCTGGTTGGTACGCGTCAGAAGTACTTATGACCTTAAGGAAACTGAGGCTCATTATAGGATTCTATGCGAGTTCGAATGATCACCGGTCACTACTCAATGATCAATAAATCTCAATACATCTCAATCCTAGAGAAGATGAGTCAAAACCCAGTATTAGCATCTCAGAATGTGAAGCTAAGTGACATGAATTCGAATCCCACCGAGATTACCGTCTTTCGAATGATTTCAAACACTCCTTACATATTAATACCAACTATCACGAAACCTGAGTCCAGCGTTTCCTTTTCACTCTCTTCAAACAACTAACATCAAAACATACATCACACTGTATCTTCCACTGGTCTATAACAGGCTATCTGTTGACATGATCTCTCAACCTGATAGCATGTTATTTAATTTAAAACAACAAGTTTTCTCTCACAAAAGTTTACTGATTTATAAACCGTTCGGCATACACATTTATTCCGCAGTTGTAAACCATTGATGCTTCACGTTTAACATATCACCAATCTGTATTCGGAGGTTAAATATTATGCTGAGAAGTTTGCAAGTCAAAACTTTTTATTTTAGAATTTCGTGATGTTTAAAACTGAATCAATATAATCATAACTAGGACTGAGTGTAAAAACCAGAGAGTTGACCAGTTAACGAAATAAAGCCATAATATAAAGGACAGCTAGTTATCTTGAACTGATATCTATCGGTCTATCACTATTCCTTGGTTAGGATCACTGGCTAACAATAACTTAATAATTCATAAACCTTATTACAATTGTTTCTTTTTTTTATTTTACTCCCAACAGAATTCTTTAACTCAAACATTTAGTTTATCTAAAAGTACTTCAAATTCTTCAAATACTTCTTCATCCGATAATACTAAACAATTAAAACAGGATGAAATTAGTCCAGGACAATTACCAAATGTATTAACTACTAAACAACACTATTCAAATGATAAACAAATGAATCCACTTAACAATCCATTACTTCATTTATTAGCATTAAAAAATTCGAATCAAATTAAAAGAAATCAACTGTCACATTATGAACATGATGAAATGAATAAACTATTAAATCAATTAAAACAAATTCGTCAATATTCTAATAATAATAATAATAATAATAATAATAATAATAATAATAATAATAATAATAATAATATTCATTCACCTAGTCTTGAATGGTTAGCCAATCTTTCTGGTAGTCCATTACCACAATCGAATTTAAATCAATTAAAAAATGTTAAACATTGTAAATCTAATATGAATTTTGTAAATTCACCTATTAATAAATTGAAAATTGAATCATCTACATCAATAGATGATAAATTAAGACAATCAATAAAACAAGATCATTCAAATAAATCAAGTAAGTTCTAAGTGGAAATATTTACTGAATTTTAATCTTCTCAATAGAACAATAAGAAGATGAAGTTGATTGTTCTAACGAAATTTAGAAAAAAAAAGATTAATTGTTTGAATTATTTGAAAATTTTACATTTTACTTCATATCAGATGGGTTTTATGGATATTATAGTAATTTCAATGATTAAGATCATGAGTCAGTTGAAACTAGACCACTATGGAAAACCTGGAAGCACTAGTCGGCCGTTTCATTTTATTGTGGGACTCCTCAGCAGTTCGGATCATGATCTTAATCATTGAAATGACTATAATATCCACAAAATCCATCTGATATTAATCAAAACATGCTCACTAGTTACTGGCTTGACGAGGTATATCCTGAAGTCCTAGTGAGAAGTAGTGACCAGTGGAGTACAACCAGATCTGTTGTGAGATAGTAACTCACTAAATACAATGGTGGATGTGTCGCTCAATTTTGTGGATCAGTTGAAGTTAGACATTAACACCATTGGATGCCGGCTCAGTGGTCTAGTAGTTAAGTGCTCGCGCGCGAAGCCAGTAGGTCCTGGGTTCGAATCTCGCAGGAGGCGAGGTCATGGATGCGCACTGCTGAGGAGTCCCACAATAGGATCAAACGGCCGACCAGTGCTTCCAGGTTTTCCATCGTGGTCTAGTTTCAGCTGACTCATGATCTTAATCATTGATTTCACTTCATAGACAAATTACTTTATACTTTGCACAGTTCCTCATCATTATGCTAATAGTAATAATGATATAATAATAATAATAATAATAATAACAATAATAATAACATTGGTGGTGGTGGTAAACCACAATAATTCCTATAGAAACCTGCTATAGGTAATATATTTAAAGGAAACTATATTTGTAAAAATCTTAGTGACCAAGATTAAAAATTAATCCAACGTTCCCCTCGATCATCTGGTTCGATCTTCAGAGAAATAATCAAAAATTGGAATTATCAACTGTAAACAGAGTTCACAAAACAACTGCATTTTCGGTATAGGATTGTGAAGATTGTTGGGTTTTTAATTGATATCATGAACTGATCAATGATCGACCATTACTGAAAACCTGAAAGCACTGGATGGCCATTTTGCCTTGGTATGGGACTTTCTAGCAGTGCGCATCCATGGTTCCGCACGCGAGACTCGAGCCCAGGTCAGTTGGTATCGCACGCTAACCCCTAACCTCTAGACCACTCAGCCGACGCTTAACGGTGCCAATGTCTAACTTTATAACGGAGGAGGACGGTCGCGCAATATCGTGGATTGGTTGGAGTTACTCAACATGAACTGATAAATTTACTGAAAAGATATTTCGATAATGCAATGAGAAGACGAAGCTTATCAAAATGATGTGATATATTTGGCAATACATTTCGAAAATTTTGATCACACATATACTTCTTAAGACATTTGTATATGAAAATTAAAAGGTCAACTAGACAGGTTAAAGGTAAGCGGTAACAAAAAAAATAAAGTACACAAAAACAATGTGATAGCCACTACGGATAATAACTCAGTATTACCAGGGTAGGCTAAGGGTACGAACAAATTTTTCATGATCACATGAAGGGGTTTCAGTTCCCGTATATCCAAGGCTTCAATGAACCTTAGTGTACGTTCTTGAAGGCTTTTGTGCAAACCTACGAAGGCTGAGTGCTATAAATACAATAGGAAAATGTTTTTATGAATATTTCCAAACAGATTCTGTCTGGATACATTCAATCATAAATATCTAAAAGAATTTTATTAGGGATTAAAATTCGAAATAGGATTCTTTGTATAAAACAAATTCAGTATCCTTTTTTTTTGAAAAAGAGGAACTGTTAACAGACTCAATTAAGAATTTGATTAAAAGTTTTTTTCAAAGCATCATGATATTGCTTACCTAATTGTCTCTTGACTTTTGACTACCAAACCTATATTACTTATGTGAATAAATAAAATGAATCAATTCACACAATATTCTTCAATCATCGTTTTTTTCTTTCTTTCCATTGATTTATTATCAATCAATTCATTTTAGATCATTCTACACATGAAAATGATAGTTCGAAAATTTCGATGTTACGTCAAGTGGAACTTGTTCACTCAGATGACAGTGAAGCGACAACAATTGATGATGAGACTTATGAAGATGATTTTACTGGTGAACAAACTAATTAAAATAAGTATTTAAGGGTGAATACTTTTCAATAAAATGATCAAGTTTGGTTGAGTGTTTCCATGTATGATAATATGATTTTGATGAATATCATGATGATATGTTTATTACAAAAGATGTTTTCTTTTGAAGATTTCTGTGATTTCACGTACAAAAAATCATAAAATTAATTATAATTTATATATTTCTGTTATGTTTTATTTTCATTTCGTTCCAGTCACTTCTTACGTTTATAATTAATTAAATAAATGTTTTCAGTAGACAATAATGCGTTGAAGCAGTATTACTTAAGTAGTTATATATATATATATATATATATATATATATATATATATATATATATATATATATATATATCATAAAAACACTATTTCATCCTATTGTTTACAATCAATTCGATACAAGCTCATAGTGAATATATATTATTTGTAAGGTTTGGTATTTTCATTTTGTTAATGTTACAGATTTGAACGTCAGTAATAAGATCTAAGTATATTCGTCTGATGAATCCCAATTGGGATAAGATGCACGTCCTAGATACCAATGCTGGGCATTATTCAAATCCGCTTAGAAATGCTTGCGACTTCATGGCAATATCCAAGCAATCCACAAAGGAAGCACATATGCCGAAAGAGACTGATCGATTGCAGCTTTTAATAATAATAGTAATAACAACAACAAGACGATCTAAACGACTCTTACGAATATCTTTTAAGAAGAGTTGGATGACGGCTAGCAGTGGGGTTCAGGACGCGTGTTCCATCCTACTTAAAAGTCTGCAGCTGGATGTTCTTGCATTCCATAGTTAGGGATTGAGATCCAAAACCTTTCGCCACCATAAAACTGCTGAAAAAATGTTTATGACTTTATGGTAATATCGAGGGTATGTATTGACTAAAAGAGCTTGATCAATTGCAATCCCAAAGATTAATGGAAAGAGTTAAACGACTAACGAATTAACCCTACAAATGTATTACATTATTTAAATCCTCTATTAAACAGCTATTATCACTAAAAAGTCCGTTATATCCACAGGTTGCGTTACATATTAAAACTTCAGGATACCAATCTTTAAGAGTGTCAATTATATGTATCAAATGATTTTTATTACGATCACATGTAATGTTAAGTAAAATAAATCAGTGGTACAGGCCAAAATCGGTTTTAGAATTTAGTCCAGCACAAAAATATTGTCTTTGATACCATAAATAAATAAGAAAAACGTACGCTTTATTGATGAATCCCAGAATTTATATATTTACGCTTTTCGAACTTACATCTAAACATTCTAAAGACACTAAGTTTGACAAAATTTATTCGGTACGAATAAAGAGGGAGAAAAATCAGAAACTACAATGTCGAAGATCGAATGGTAGGATATTTCGTACTAACGCTTTTTTAAGAATCTTTTTGATCACAGAAATTACTTGAAGCACATATTAGAAGCCTTGAACCCAAGTATCATGTAAGTTGGCGCACATCAACAGCACATGTTCGCTATCTTGTGTTAAATAACACTATCTGTAGCACCTAATCGAAGCTGGATGGGTTGGTCGTCTAGCTTTCGTCGTTCAGAAGAACGATGAAAGCTCCACGGCCAAACCATCCAGCTCAGAGAACAAAACTCCACCTGAGCTACAAATCTTCTTCATCACCTAATCGAAGCCTATGGTATTAGAATGTTAACGGTAATTGATCGCTGCATTCCAGCTCTTGTTTTCTAACAGGTTCAGTTTTAAACTTGATTACGATAACACTTTCCACAAACATATATTACTCAATCTCTGTAAGTAATTGATATTATACTTTAGCTTAGTATTTCTGATTGTATTTTGACATAAGGGATATTTGTTCCAACTCATCAAGAATTATCTGAGCAGCAACAAAACTGAATCATATGACCAATCCTTACCGTGTTTTTTGAATAATTTAAGATCAGTGTCGTGCAGTCAGTACATTGCTTAACAGAAAATATCAAGTAGGAAATTGTTAATATATTACTTTTATAGCGTTTGGATCAATAGTATGTCTTTAGTAGATTCTGGTAATCCTTTCCTTGTTTCGTAGATTTTCATTAAAATTAACCTTGTTTCATGGTGTTTGACTTCTAAACCTTTACTGTGTCACTTCACTACACCTCAGTAATAACAAAGTTACTCTCTACAACCTTAAAGTTGTCCATCAAGTGAACTGCTGACTTAGGATAGTTTCAAATTATTTATTTATTTTAAATGTACTGCATATATATATAATAGTCCCTACACTCATACTTCAGTTGAATACTATCGCAATGTAACCTTAAATTGAAAATCTATAACATTCGAAAACAACCTACAATAAGAACTCATAATATGACATTCGTTTCATTTTTACCATTCATTCATATTTCACAATTACATTAAACTCATGTGAATCAAATCAATTCTCACATACGTTGTAGGTAGCACACATAAATATGTGCTTTTAAACCAATCACATTGTTAATTTTAATACTCCTGATAGAAAATCCGAGATGGGTAATATAATGCAAAATCAATCGATCATAATAATGGATTCATTCTTTGTTCTTTAAATGTCAGTTTTAATGTCATTTTTAGCTGTTTATCCTTCTGACTCACCTTTTTATACTTAATTCTATTTTTTATGTTTAAATTTTCATATATTTCAACATTGATTCTCATCATGTGCTTCTAATCCTATTAACTTCCACATTACATGATACACAAAAAAAAACTGTTCGATAAACACAATTCGCGTACATAACGTGTAAGATCCATTTATAGTCAAAAAACGGATTTCTCGCACACCTGAGATGACTAATTTTTACAGCGAGAACAAAGCGACTCAATAGTAATCTATACACTCAACTATCATCAACAATAAACGAAACCATTTTAAACACTAATCGAGTAGTAAGGGGTTGTGGAGATTGTTGAATTTCATTAAATCACAAACCAGTCCAAGTCCACTATTAAGAACCTGGAAGCCATGACGAATGGAATTCAACTGCTTCGTGTGTGAAGCATCTACTCACTAGAGACAATGAACGATGGTCGCGCAATATCGCGGATTGATTGAAGTTAAACATTGACAATGTTGGATCGCGGCTAAGTGGTCCGGAAATTAGGCGTTCGTGCAAGACTGAAGACCAGGGATTCGAGTCCCACGTGTGGGGTTGTGGACGCGCATTGCTGATGGGACCCATACTAAGACGAAATGGTCATCCAGTGTCTCCAGGTTTTAAATGGTAGTCTAACTTTAGTTGGTTCATGATTTCAATCAAACTAATAGAGCAATTTGTACGAAAGAAATTTTGTTAGTTTATTTTCAATGGCTTGGTAGCCAGTCTTTCATAAACAAGCTAAACTGTACTGTCGACTATCTTAAAATAAATGTGTTAATATTTTACCAAAAAAATAATCCATTCAAAACTAATAATAATAAGAGTGTTATTTACTAAGCCTGTAAACGTCAGTTTCTGTAATTTTCTTGATTCAATACTACTATTATTATATTCATAAAAAACGGTAATCACACTAAAATGAGAAATGCTATAAAATAAGTAAGCTGAAAAGGTATTGGAAGAAACATACTTTCAAATATCATGAACTTTGAGAAGACAATCAGACAACCTGGTAGTTCCTGGGATTCTCTAGAAGTCAAACGTTAGTCCTGACATTTTGTTCAATTTCCAAGTCAAATAACATTAGTAATGAAAGATAGCGGCGAATAACAGTTAATATGACAAGCTATTTCAGTATGAAAGTGTTTTTCAATTTTGTATTTCATAAATGGATTTTGCTTATTTACAGCTTACAAGTCATTCTAAGACCTACATCATGACTGGTAAAATGGAGTTTGTGGTGGTTCCCAGCAAAAGGAGCTTATACAAGATATATCGATACACTAGGTCAATAATAATATACCAAGAGAGTTAACCGTAAAAACCCTAGGCGTCTGTCTGAGAGTAAAACCAAGGGTAACAAAATAAAGTTAGGATACAAATTGTATATTAAACAAACAGATAATAACAGTTGTTATGGAATGAATGCTACTTGAAAGCTGCCTCGTTAGATAACAACCACAAAGGAGTCCACTTGATTGACGAAGATTCCTCTGCAAGTGACTGAACCAACGGCATGATGAGAAAGACTGAGTCCAATAGTATTATATAATAATAATCCGTGCCAAAAGTTCAACGTTGTGTCGGAAGGCCTAAAAGGATGTTATAACACTATTATAGTCTTCAATCAAAGACCGTGGCCAATAAAGCAGAACATACGGCGTAGGTAGCGTTTTATATTTCAAGCAACGCGGTAGTAGTATCGTATATTAATCATCAAAACAATTATCATCGTTTTTAAACAAGTGATACAGAAAAACGACAGATATTGAATAAAAATGTAGTTACATATAAGGTGTGACAAATTAGAGAAAAAATGCGGTTATTTTGTCTTTACAAAAATCACTGAATATACGTCACCATAAGTTCATTAGTTTGTTCTTGTATAACATGCACTAAGTTTTGCCTCCAATTTTCAATCCTGTTTGGATTCGAGTACTTAAAAACATCCCAGAAAAATAGTTATAAGCTGATTATTAAGTCGTGAGCAGATAAACTGAATTCCTTAAATGTAATAACTTTAAGTATTCTCCATTCGTCGTTATATTTCGGAGATTTCTTTAAGGCTTTAAAGATTACATTACACCAGAGCTGTGAAATTTTCTGTCCCCAACAATGTTCAAATTCGATATTTATTTTGACATATTGTTTGAAAAGACTGTCATAACTTACCAGAAGACAGAAACATAAGTCAACATCTTTTTTCTTTAGAACCATGCCAATGAAACATATAGTAAATCAGTCCGTCATCAAAGAACTCAAAAGAGATTTCTCTAAAACTACTGAGTAAATGTTGAAAAATAGGTACTTATCATCCTCAACGGTGTGTAGTTGGCTTTCATACTTTTAACGATAGAGTTATGAGTTGAAAATACATCAAAAGCTTTCTGGATATCAGAACTTAAAGAGATATATTTCATTGAAATAATAGTGGCGGAAAGCGAATACTTTGAAGATAAAACAAGCTGAAATGGGCTAAAATACCGCAAAGATCATATAACTTTAGGGTCAATGGAGATTGTAACTGCCATCTATCAAAATGCTGAACATATAATGCAAAATACTACTAACATGCATTGTTTAGATCAAGGAAATTAAGTATTAAAATGACTTCTTTTTATTCAAATTAATTCATTTACTACTAAGTTAAACACCTTGGAATAAATTTTCAATCATTTGTGTTTGGGATCCATACACATTCCAACAACCATTGTAAAACTTTGAAAGGAGACTAATTTAAATTATTTGAAAACGAGTGTAGATTCAGACCACCCAGAGAAATCTTATATTTAATTGATTGATGTCTGTCCAGTATACAACAATATGTGGAAGATCATTTACATTTCACTACTTCATAGGTTAGTGAATGTTTATAGAAGCTATTATTTAAGATCAGGACTTGAATAATTTTATTGAACAAAGTAAATCATAAATACTAGCTGTATTATATATTTCTCAATTGTATTTACGACTTTATTATCTTCCACAACATTTCATTCAGATCACGAAATAATAATAATCATTGTTTACTGTGTCCAAATTGAAAATTCCTCATAAATCTGTAATACTGAAACAGACTAATCATCATATCTTCGTAGGATACTAGATTCTATGTATCAGTCAGTTAGTCAGCTAAAACGTAGGACCAGGCACATATGTGCATCCATCCAAGTTGCCGTTATCTCATTAGTACTGCAAGATAAACACCGGATTCATAGAAGTAGTTAATTCAGTGGTGGTAATATATAAAATAAGATTGCATATAAGGACGTAGTACTAGAAGAAAGAGTTAGTTCGTAGAAAGAAAGATATGAATCGATTTTAATCTCATAGTTTAAGGGAAGACAGAGAGTGTACACACCTACTCCATTTTGATCAATTTTGAGCCATGACACTCATAGTCTCCAACCATTGGTTAAAATAGTCACGCGAACCCCAAACAGGTAGTCTACACCTACCAAAATGGTTTAAGTTCAATTGTCACTGACTTCACAGATTGATGACATCTTGGTTTGACCTCTCCCAGTTTTCTTCCAGTCTCCTCCTACACCAAATATCACCCGTCAAGGTAGGCAGTGGTTGAGCATACGTAACACATGTCTCAGCCACGCCCGATGAAGATCTACTGCCCCATCATTCGATTTTCTATCTTTACCTAATACCCTATACCTAACCCCGACATCACTTACTTTGTGGTCTCAAAATACAAAAGCAAAGATTCGAAGACACTTATGACACCTTTATTCATAATGTGAAGTAAACTATTGGTCATTTACACAGCTGGAATAGACTGTTATGTGTAAAAAAAATATATATTTACCATCTGAGGAGTATAATAATATTAAATCTTTGTACTGTAAAACGTGTTACAAAAGGCTCATAGACAGTAAAGAATTATCAACTAATGGTATTCACAAATGTTTTCTAATTTGCGTATTGTTCTGGTTACCACATATACAATTCGTTGTTCCCTCTGAACACATGACTTGACAGCCCCCTTCAGTGAACGATGAACGCACGAAATGTTTTATTTAGTAAGGTTAACTTAAAAGTATTACAATGATAAAATACCTTGATAAGTCTGTTAATGATTCTTTGCCGTATGATATGATGATAGATTTGGTCGATGACTATGTAATAAACTGATAAGCAATAGCGTATTTTATTTAAACTACTACTAATCCCAGTGCTTATTGGTCGATAAACAGATAGTACACTTTTATTTCAGAGGAAAATCTTTCTAGATTTCTTCACTATACTGTCGATAAGCTTTTACCACGGAAATTAACAATGTAAAATATCCTACTTGGTAATAAACATGAGAATAATTATCCACTTTAATGTACATAAATACTTATGTATAGCTTCTGAGTTGAAGAAAAGTTTAAATGATACTAATAGATGTCATTGTAGCTACTTTTTTTAAAAATCCAAACTATAAATCAATTAAGTATTGATACCTAATTTAAATTTTCACTGTTATTAAATGAAATACTCACATCTGTGTATCACAATATCATTCCAGTATGGATAGGATTGATAGTTTGAAAAGAAAAAAAAATCGAAACCTAGTTATCATCCATATAAGTTTTTACTTTATAAATAACCAATCATATACGAGGATTTACTGACTCTAGGGCAATGGGCAGATTGATTAGATTATTCATTTGCTTTGAATTCTATCATGACATTTTGAGCTTACAATTTAAAATTATGATATAGTTAGGAACATATGTTAGAATATTATGAAAAACATTGGTATACCGAACTTGGTAAGTTCTTTGAGATGTTCAAATTTGAGAATAATTTTTTTGTTTTGCTTTTTACCATCAGAGTATATAATATAAACTCGAAGGAAATAACTCATAATTTTAAACTGCTTTTAGGTTATTTTTATATACTATTTATCATATGGTAGGTGAAATTTCTATTTTGATGTTATATACAATTATGATTGAAGTAATTTGGAAAAAGTATAACAACTTTTATGTAAAATATTGCTTTTTGCCTAGATATATAGAATGAACTATGTATTTACATGTAAAGTTAATAAAGATGTACTTATTGTTTCTATAACATTTATCTATGGCTAATTTGTATTTCTCAACTGGTTATACTTCAATGTGCTGTACACGAAAGATAAATCAAACTACAAAAGTTAAGTATAACTACAATTGAATGGTCTAGCACCTGCAAGTGTATCTCATTCCATAAGTGATATTTTAGGAACTTTAATTGTTTAGCCATCTTTATTAGTGAATCCCCTAAGTAAAACCACCCACTTGCTGTCAATATGTTAACACCGTCCCTAGCAAGTTTAACTAATTTGAATAATATAAACAGTATATCACTGTGTCACATGACACACGCATTTAGGTAGACCTGATTCATATATTTTGGTAATTACTGCTTTGTTTTTCCGTGCTCTGTGTTTTCGTTTTAATTTCTCTAGTTGTAGATAATTATCATTAATTCGATCTGGCACACGAATTGACCTTAATTACTGCGTTAATAAATCAACAGGCTGTTCATTTAGGAAATATTAAAAATTCCCGGCTGATGCATTGGATCACTGTAATACATGTACTACTTAGACAATTACTGAACCTGTATACTTAAAACGTTCTTCTATCACATGTTTGTTCTATACATTTAATGTTCCTCTTTATATCAAATTGATCATGCTTGTAAACTGGCGTGAATTCTGTAATTATTATTTTCAGAATATAAATTATTATTATTAATCTTATATCTTTAAGTAACCATAATAGTGGAATGTATTATTTAAAGACTAAATGATTTGAAACTAATAAACTGTCAAAAAATTAGGATATAATATTTAAACCATCAATCTGATTCATTTTTACATTGAAGTTTTGACTACATTGTTTGATAGTTACCGACTCAATTAATTTCGTACTCTTGGGAAACTTACAGATATCCCTTATTTATCCTTTATGTAACTAAATATCGACAGAGTTCTGTTCATAAAAATTTTATTAGGTACTCTTTAGTGTTATATTTTTTTAATTGTGGTCAAATCGTCTGTATGGTTTAAACAACACGTTTATTGTAGGTATCGCAGTGTTCTAAAGATCTCAAGTCTTCTTTTTTTCTAGTTAATGTACTATATTAAGTGACAGCTGATCAGATTAAATCAGTGAAAAAGCCTGGAACTGTACTTTTCATTAATTCATAATTATGGTCAAGTAGCACTTGCAATCTTGGAAAAACTTATGATATGTTAGGAATTTATCACATAAATGTACTAACACTTCATAGCGAAACGACAATTTCAGTAATTGGATTTTAGTTCACATCTCAGAGGAAAGAAACTCTATCAAAAAGTTAATCGTCATGAATGTTACTTGCTGTATAACTACTTCATAAAGTCATACATCCCTAGGTAGAAACTATTATATTTGTTATCAACCTAAAGACTTCCTAAGCAAGATTCGATATTATATCTTATTCAGTCTACGAATGAAGTCGATTCGATTAACTGTCAGTTTTCATCTATGATAGGAAAGTAATATTCAAAACATAATTGAAATATCAGAAGGGGTTTTGTGGATATTATAGTAATTTTAATAGTTGAGATCATGAGTCAATTGAAACTAGACCATTATGGAAAACTTGGAAGCACTAGATGGCCGTTTCGTCCTATCGTGGGACCCCTCAGTAGTGCGCATCTACAATCCTGCCTCGCAGGATTCGAACACAGGATTGTTGTGAAACAGTAACTCACTGAAGACAATAGCGGATGTGTCACTCAATCTTGTAGATTAGTTGAAGTTGGACATTAACACCGTTGAATGCTGGCTCAGTGGTCTAGAAGTTAAGCATTCACGCACGTGACCGATAGATCCTGGGTTCGAATCTCGCGAAGTGGGATCATGGATGCGCACTTCTGAGGAGTCCCATACTGGGAGGAAACGATCTTCCAATGCTTTCAGCTTCTTCATGATGGTCTAGCTTCAATTGATTCATGATCTCATTTATTAAATTAAGTGAAATAATTCCAGGATTTATCTCTTTATAAATGAATATTCATTTATTTTGTCATTTTAAGTAATTATTCATTCATGTTTTCTCGTTAGTTAAAATATTAGGTACTAAGCAATATTCTTTTTGACATTAGTTTCATACTGTACATTTGAGTAATAATTACCATAATTTGAAGATTGACTTCAATGATGACCTTATAGAATGTTTTCTTTAAAATGATTTTTAATGTTTAGGAATCGTTGATATTTTAAAGATTTATGACTATATTCATACTTACAGAATATTAGACTAATAAGATATCATATTATAAAACAATATGTATTGAAATCATATCTCATTGTGTGTAGTTTACACTTTAACAATCGAATCAGGTTAACATTCAGCAAGATTAGGAAATCCTCCATTTATAATATACATGTGTATTTTGTTGTTTTGTTCAACATATCTAAATGAAAAGTTTTAAAAACATGAATTATACGAACACTTCAATCAAATGAGTTCCTCAGATTCTTTTGTCTCAGGTAATTTATTCTAATAAATGATTTCATTTTAAATATTGCAGAAATATTGTAATTGAAATGTAGAATTAATATTGAAGTGAATGCTCTTTGTATATAACTGTGTATTTTTCTTTTTGGGTTTCTTACTAGATAGAAATGGATCAATCTGAAGAACCACTTGATTTAAGAGTAAGCTAAGTTTTTTTTATTATTATTTGGATATAATTTTTAGAAACTGCCTTAGGTTAAACTTTTCTTTACATCCTAGACTGGATGCAGCAGTTCGGCTCAAGTTTTGGAAAGCTATGAAAATAAACACGAGCATTATGTGAAACGGAGACCAACATATTTAGAATTAGAATTCGGGGTAAATTTGTTCTAGTTTGTTCATTTGAAATTCTTGTGCTCAGTTTCAATTAACGTTGTCAAATCCAAATATCATATAAAGATTTTCAGCCACAAGGTTGGTTATGCCTCATTAGCGAAGCCAATCGGCTTTTCTGACAGGAAGACTGTCATTTTGAGGCACATCCGCCATATGTATTTATCTTCATAGGAAAACCATGAGTTTTCTCTGAATCTTGGCGCGCGAGCGGCTCACCTAAAACTAGTATATGTTGCACGCACACCAGTAACACATAGGTTTTCAATTATTCATCCCATGTTGTCTATCCATAGTTTGATTGTCAACTTATCAGAACAAAATTGTTCCAAAACTGTTTTCCTTTACCGAATACCTTAATTAATATCTAGATTAACAGCCTTGTTTAGATAATGTTACATACATAATTAACTTGAACTCATAACGATTATTCGTGTTTCAAGTAACCGTTTAACAAAACCGATTACAGAAACGTTTTACTTTCCTGAAGTTTTGAGAATTTCTACGCTAATTGGCGTAAACACACAAAACTTCAAATGAAACTAGTCATTACTCAGTGACTAATTAATTTTAAACATATCAGTTCTACAAATGAAAAATGACAACCCGAATAGCTGTGGTAAGCTCTGTGATTGCGAAGCTGGGTGACACAGGATCGAATACACCAGGTAGCATCAGTTACCTCAAAATTAGAGGTATGCCTATCTGACGAGTGTCAAATGGCACGAAAAATATAGGTTCAGGCTTCCCTGTTGACTACCTCAAATCACCATAATCACCTAACCACAAATGTTCCTGTCCAACTAAAATGTATTCCACCTCGTTTGTATATAAAGGCAATTACCACCTTTTAAAATACGCACTTAGTATCTTGTGCATATATTTAAATGAAAAAATGAATGTAAGCAGTTCAAAATGAATCAAATCATCTTTCTTAAAGTTATAGCATTTTTAATATTCTTGTTGTTGGTCATCATTGCTTACTCTTAGTCTTTTCATCATTGTTTATCTATACTCTTCATGGTTAAAGTTTGTTATTATGAAGAATTTTTAATATGAAGCTGTAGTGACATTGGTTTCCAACTACATTATTCTTGAAACCGAATATACAATAAATGAGAAGACTTACGTTAGTAACTGAACACTCGGAGAAAGTCAGAAAATTTCAATGTGGGAACATTTAATGTATATGGCATAGCTCTGCCATGTAGGCGTAGTCACTCTATGTAACCTTTTGTTTTTTATAATAAATATTATTATATTAACACCATGAATATATTCTGTAATGGTTCTTGAGAGGAACATTACTGACATTTACGAAAGGATGAGACAGTACATATAATAACATGACTTCGATGTAAGAACTTGTAATAATGATGATAATAATAATAACAATAATAATTTCTGGGATTAATAATTACAGAACTCATGTCAGTTTACGGGTATGATCAGCTTGATATAGATAGTAATATTAAATTTAGAAAACATATGTGATATAAGGTTGTTTTAAATGATCTAGTTCAAAATTGTTTAGGTAATACCTTTTTTTATACGTGTTACAGCAATGAAAGGCATCAGTCGTGAACTCTTAACTCTTTTTAAGTTGATGTATGAACGGTGCATTCAAAGTCATTTCTGCCCCATGATGATAACCATCTACAATTTGAGAAGATAAAACGGAATTAGAGAGGATGGAACAAAAAGACAACAATTACTGCTACAATAGTTTAGGTAGTTATATCATGGCAAGTTCATAATATCGGATTAAGTCTCTTATTCTATCCAGTATAGATAAGTGTGCTAATACCATCATAGATGTAAATACTACACTGCCATCATATGAATATAATTCGAATTTTATTTTAGGTTCTCTTGTACACTGATTCTAATTGTTTTATTCTAATGATAGCGTTTTGTCCGAAGATTAACTCACGAGTTACTCGATCCTGATCTTTCAATTACTCAACAATCACAAGAACATTTAACTCAAATAGAAGAGGCTTGTAAAACCTCATTTCCTCAATTTGATTCACGTCAAATCAGATTAAAAATACGTGCTCAGCTGAAACTGTATAGGCGTAATTTAAACAAAGTGAATAAGAATATATCAACATCTGATCAATCCACTCTATCCCTAAAAGTAAATACCAGTATATCAATAAGTTCTATATACATGGTACCATTACAGTCAACTGTTATTTCTTCCTTAGCATCTCTTCCATCGACTAATCATTTAATTCCAAGCGACAAAGTAGTTTTTCAACAACAATCAAATACATCACTTTTATCAAATTTCAATGACCAATTCAATAGAAGTCCTGTTAACTCTGACTTAATTAACTTCATTCAACAAATGAGTGAAGAATATAAGTGTGAAGCGAAAAATAAGGAGAGATCAATAAATACATCCAAAAATGATGATAATGTTCAGCTGTTTAAATTTAAAGACAATTCATCTACCAAAAGTGATATAGTTGGGCTAGTTACAGCACCAGATGCCTTCACAGGAAAGGTAATTAAGTTTTTCTTTTAGATGACTTTAATCGGTTGCTTTTTTACGAATAATAAAATTCGGTATAATTTGGCAATAAACATATTATCAGTTACAAACACGGAAAACTAAATATTTCATACTGTCAGTTCCTCCAATATTGTAGACAATCTCTGTTTAGGAGCTCCGATGATAACAGAACCCAGACAAAGGGCTTCTTTTCAGTCTTCTGTATATGACTCTCTACGTGAAGGGTAACCCCAGTTAGAAAAAACTTTGTAAGGCTTAGAACAGTATTACGTCTCTCTACTCACTTCAGTGTATGATGGCTTATGATACTCACTCTAGAGACGCCTTATCAACTGTAAGCTTTATTAAATCTTTTCTTTACTTGTTCGTAATGGTCTCGTTTATTACTTCTCTAATTAGTGTAACTATAATTCTTTTATATTGTTTGCATGTACAAATCAAAGTTCATAATAAAATCCATCCCAAACCATGTTGGAAACCTAGTACTTATATACTTTATTTTGCAATGTTTAGTCACACCTGAGAATGGAGAACTGAAAGACAGTTATTTACGCTCATTTTTGTATTATGTTACTAATCTTAATAATATTTGAATGACTAGTTGGGCAACTACCTTAAACCGATAGGTTCTTTGTTTTCGTTTTCATCTGTTTACTAGTAAGAAGCTAATCAATTCAGGTAGAAAAAAGTTTCGAAAGTCCTAATCAACTGAATTATGTTAAACATAGATTTAAATATCTTTGAGGGATTTTTTTCTTTTCAGCTAATATCATCTAACTCGACATCGAACTCAAGCATGTTAAATGTACTGTATCCAGTTTCAGGGAATACAGATAGTATGATATCCAAAATGGAACTTAATCAAATAAAAGCAACATCCAACACTTCTGTAGATAATAAAAATGATAATAATATAAATATGATAAACACTGAATATGTCTATTTACCAAATAATTCTATCTCAAATATTCCTTTTATTTATCCAATATCTTTTACTCAACCATCATTAATCTATCATTTAAAACATAATGAATCGAATCCAATCAATTCAACTGTAAGTGTCTATAATAGTTGATTTGTTATTGACAATAGTTTTCTAATACTAAGTGTGTAGTATAATTAAGATTTCATTCAATAGTTTAGAACTAACCACATTGTTTAATTTTTGTTTGTACATTTCTCGAACTGATGTACGTACGTACGAAGTTCTACGTTGTTACTGACTGACTGACTGTTTATTTCTCATTAAGTCTTCTACTTTCAAATGAAAGCTCCATCACTGAGTGTTGCTTACTTCTTCAATCTCAAAATAAACAAATAAATAAATAAACATGAACTTTATTAATACATGAAAATATGTAACAGAAATTACTGCTACAAATAGTTTCGAATCAAAGTGAAAAATGTAGAACAGTAGATGATGTAGAACAGTACCTATAACTAGTACAAATTTTAAAAAAAGCAACACGCTTTAGTTTTTTTTTTCGAAAATATCTGACATTTTAGTTTCATGATTTATAAGAGAATTTCAATTCTTTACGGGTAATGAGAAATTGTTCACATTTGAACTCATTTATCCAACCAGTTTCATTTTGATTTTATATGCTTTGTATATATTATAGGGAAGAGAAAGAACCACTGTAAACAACAATATGTATTATAAACAAAGACGAATGGTGGCTAACAGTGAAATCCAGGATGCGTGTTTTTCCCTGTTTGGGACTCGTCAGTTGGATGTACCTACATCCTGGATTCCACTGCTAGCCACCACTTATCTTTATTTATAATGCTTGTGACTTAAGGCAATATCGAAGCAATTCGTATAGGATACACATATGCCAATAAGAGACTGATCAATTTCAGTCTTAAACATCATTGGGAAGATTCAAACAAACAATACAAAATGAATTTTAACAATATGTATTAACTAAACATTTAAAATACATTGTTTTACATTTGCATCTTCTATTCATTTGTGATATTGCACTTTCATCATACATGCTATTGATGATATCGATCTCATGTTATTGTTCACTGAACATAACTCACTGTTTTTTACTGGTTCTCCCACTAACATCTACTCATGAATAAAACATCAAAAGTTTATACTTAAGTTATTTAAACCTACATTTCTAACTCGAACACAACTGGTAGAGTGAGAGCTTATGGCGAACTGTCATCAGAATTGATTACCTCAAGTGGTGTTCGTCAGGGCTGTCCACTCTCCCCATTCTTGTTCAACTTTGTGGTCGACGTACTTTTAGAGATAACACTCTCCTCATCTAAATTTACAGGGTTGAACTTCTATCAGGAAATTCACTTGTTTACTTGGAACATGCCGATGACATGGTTTTATTTGGCGAAGACGCTGACAAAATGCAGAGTCTTCTGACCACTCTAAGCAACAATGCAAGCATGTTCGGGATGCGATTCTCTCCCTCGAAATGCAAAATGTTGCTTCAGTATTGGGTTGCATCGACACCCGAACTAGTGATAGGGAGTGAAGTAATTGAGTAGGTCGACCGCTTCACTTATCTTGGAAGTCTCATCAGCCCTTGTGGTCTGGTGTGTGACGAAATCTCGGCACGGATACAGAAGGCTCGACTAGCTTCTGCCAACTTGCGTCATTTATGGCGTAGGCGAGATATCCGTCTATCAACCAAAGGACGTGTTTACTGCGCAGCAGTTCGTTCCGTCCTACTTTATGGCAGTGAAACATGGCCGGTAAGAGTAGAGGATATCGTAGGTTACTAGTATTCGATCATAGGTGTCTTCGAAACATTGCTCGTATATCATGGGACCATCGAGTAAGTAACACAGTTGTTAGAAAACGGGTACTATGTAAGAATGGCAAATCACTTGATGAAGTGGTGAAACTTCATCAGTTGACATGACTGGGACACGTGTTACGTATGCCCAATCACCGACTGCCTCGATATGCGATGTTTTGTTGTATAGGAGTAGATTGGAAGAAAGCTAGGGGCGGCCAGACCAAAACATGGCACAAGTCCATGAAGTCACTGACAAGTGGACTGGGCCATGTTGGTAGGTGTAGACTACCTGGTTGGGGACCGCGAGATGATAGTAACCGATGGTTAGAGACCCTGAACGACATGGCTCAAAATCGTTTGCAATGGCGCAGGTACATCCACTCTTTGTGTTCTCCCAAATTCTAATCTTCTGAATTCTTCATGTCCCTTTCTTTTTTCTCTTTCCAAATCTATTTCACTGTATTATACTCCTTGAATAACATCTTCAAACCCTAATTTTTCTGATTAGAGCTTGCAATTTTACTACATCTAGCACTACAGGATTTGAATCGACAATTGTATCTCTGTGCTAATGTGGCGTGGCAACTCGAACTGATGTACGTACGTACAAAGTTCTACGTTGTTACTGACTGAGTGACTGACATTTCCAACCTATAAATACACCATCCGTATTATTTCACGATCAACTAAGTTTTAGTTTCACTCTATAATGTATTTTATGAACATCTTTTTTGAACCAAAATGTCTATTTACTTTTAGTGTGCAACTGATTTGTCAAATACAACAAAATATTTAGAGCCAGCAGTTTCAAATATTACAACTGGTATAGTATCCATGTCGTCTACAACTACACCATTGTCAGTCTTCTCAACACCAAATACTATTACCAGTCTGTTAGCTTTATCTCTACGTGCAAGTGCAAGTCATCTTATTCAAACTGCCAGATTATATAAAATGTTCATTCAGCCTATTCAAAGCATCAGTGATAATCACCAGTTAAGCATTTTAAATTCTCAATATATAAATAATATATTTCATGGTATTAATCATCCACCAGAACTAGAAGACTTAACGAATATCCCATTAAATCTTGAACATAAACTATCCAAAACCAATTTACAACCGAAATAATTCTTCATTTATAGAAACTAAATATAATGTGGATAAAAATAAGTAATTAAAAAATCTCACGTTTTAAAATAAGTTTTATAATATGTATATATTTACCTTTTTTTGTTAATATACAAACATGTTTTACGATAATCTTATTTTCTTGGTTTATTCCGAAGGTATGTTCCACGAATAAGGTAACTCATCAAAGTAGCATGACGAACCAAGGTTAATTTTTCGATGAAATAATAGTACTCGCTACTGAACATTTCAAACGTACTAGGAGATTTTTAAAAAAATATTCCTTGATCACAAGAGAATCAATGTCGAAGTTATCATTTTAGATCGATATCATGAATGGATAAATGTTAGACCACCATTGAAAACCTTGAAGCCCTGGACGGCCGTTTCGTCCTAGTATGGGACTTCTCACCACTTATTTAACATCAAACGAGTGAATTATTTTCATTCAATAAGTTTAAGATTCCTTTCGATATGTTTAAAACAATATTCTCAACAACTGTGATAAAATCATGAATATGAATTTTTTAGAAGTTATTCTTAAACTGTTTATCCATTCATTTTCAGTCATTATGAATGTAGAACATAGTACAAATATTCATCGTCAAAGTCTGGTACACTTTACTATGATCATTTCCATATAGTAATTAATAACACACAAAATTAAAAAAGATCAAAAAAATCTATATCAGCCATAACAAAACCCAAAAGGTAACACATAAGTTTGGGATGGAGAATACAAAATCACAATAATAATATTCAAATTTCAGAAGCAGATAAAGATTGAATGAATCTGCACCACTTCTAAAGATTTCTGCACAAAATTACCTAAATTTTCCACTTATATTATTTGTATTTTTTCAACAAATCTCAGGCAGCCGAGATTTTACGTCTGTTCATTGTCAGATGTACTATTTATCTTAGTGCACATTACAAACTGACTTTAGTTGGGCAACCGCTGAAAACTGGGAAGTAATTATTATGGTGCTCTACAGCAGCTCACAATCTCAAGTTCACCAGGGATTGAATCCAGGACCTTAAGGTCCAGTGATAAATACCCAAGCTTTGGACTACTAAGCAGTTATCCAGTAATTTACATTTTAATTTTCAACCAGTTTGCAATTTCGTGCAACAGTTTTCCAATACCATTTGTGGGTTAGTGTATCATACAAAACATGATTAGATTCTAATCGTCCCAATTTTTCATCGGATCTCTCAAAATTAACTGCTATCGAGGAAATTATTATTATTAAAAGTACAAGGGGTTTTTACAAATTTTTCACTTGCTTATATTTAGAACTTAGAATTTAAACCATTGGACGTTGACTCATTGGTCTAAAGGTTAAGCGCTAACCGCGTGACTTGAAAGTTCTGTGTCCGATTTTACCTTGTCATAATAAAGTCCTCTACTTGGATGAGACAGCTGTCCAGTACATCATGATTTTTATTTGCCACCTAACTAAAGTCTATCTGTGATGTAAACAACATAATTCAACAATCTCTACAATCTTCTTAGACTAATATTACTGGCTACATTTACTGTAGCCCAACCAACCAGCATATGGCATGTCACAAATTTTAATCTGACATGGCTACACGAATTAACAAAACCGATATATTAAAAATATATAATTCTAAAGCTTATAGATTTATATTCTAATTATGTAGTCTGACATATTCTATTACATATATCACAAAAATAAATTGGTTATATAAGTAATCCTGTTAATATATAGACTAGTAATTGTTTAATCTATAACCGGTTATATTGTGTAAGCTTATTCACCATTTATTAATGACGCAAAGTAGGCTTAACTTTTCAATTTAAATGACCTGGCTTACTAATAATACATATATTATAATTAAAAATATTCTATAGGACAAGTGTATTTATACGTTCATTTGTTCATATACAATACCATTGTAATGATGTGTGCTGTAAACTGACCGAAATATTTATTTAAATACTGAAAATGTAACTGAGTGAAACTGTGGAAGTTCATTTACAACCTTATAGTTAATCACATAAAAAATATCGATAAATTCATTCGAATGATGATGAATACATTTGCAGCTTATATTGAAATCCTAGGATTATTGAAGTAAGTAATTAATCGAGCATAACTACATTAATATTAATTGAATACGTATTTGTAATATTATATGAGGTTAATTTTTCAATAGTCAACTGAAATCAATAATCTAGAGAGACGTTGGAAATCCAGAAATAATGAATAATTGTTTTCTTACTAATTTTACGAACTTTTCAGTCCTAAACATACAGTTTTTATTTTTTGGATGAAAGTGTTACAAATAAACCATCCAGCTCAGGGAAAGAAATTTCGTGATGAAAACTATTTCGAGATTCTCTATAACTGTTTGTTTTACCTGGAACTCTTACCCGAAAAATTTAAAAATGTAGTTTAATATTAAAAAAACTTGGGTATAAAAATGGACGAAGGTGTGAATTAAACTCATTTTGCCTTCTACATTGGATGGTTGGCGATAATCATTCTGAGATTTAAAACTTAGATTTCGTACTAGCTACTATTGTGCATTAGTAGTGATATCTTGCGAAGACGTATTCTCTTCTGATTTTATCGCATGCTACTCAGTGACATGACCAATGGCCATATTACTGAACTATTTTGGCCCCAATTAATCTCCAATATAACTGAGATATTTGCACTAACCGTTCGCTTACTACCAAACGTCTGCTTATTGTCTAATCCTTGATCAACTTAGAATGTGTTCAGTATTCGCATTAACTCGACATTTCAGTGGACTTTATTTGATATCATGTAGTGGGTAGGCAGTCTGCGGAAAGTCTTGAAGTACAATTAAGATTGTTCAAACAAATGAGTACTTAATTGAGACTTAGAGACTAACTGGAGATTATGATTTCTTAAATTTATTTATTTAACTATGTACTTTTCCACTAGACGGATAGATTCATTAACAGTATTTGACAAATTTGAAATAACTTTTAAATTGGACACTTTAAGTTGAACAAACGAAAAGCATATGGTATTGTTATTACTAATTAATTAGATGTTGCAACTTGTTGTTTCAACGTGACCACAATTGGCATATATTCAAGCGAGAACAATATATAATTAGTTTTTAACTTTATTGATATAATCATAAACTGGTTTTTAAGGCTGTAAATAGTTTACACAATTTGTCGTTTTTGTGCACCATTAATCTGTACGTTTATTCAGTATCCAGATATGAACAGTAGCATCTCGTTAGCGTTCGATAAATGAGTTGACTGTTCCGCACATCAGTGTCTCTACAGACACTAGTTCAAGTAGCTGTTTATAGACGATTTATGATGTACGATGACACTAAATAAAAAAGTAGTTTGTTAAACGGCGAGTACCATTTAGTTATCTTGTACTTTAGGGCATTAGCAATATATACATGAAAACTTTCTAAGATAACACTTGGTGAGGACACTTCATACATGATTTAGAATTCGACACATGGTAAATTTATTGTTTAGAATTATGGAATTTGGATTTAAGGTTGTACGTACACTAGTTAAAGAAAGTCATTTTATAACTAAGAAAACTGCTGATTTATTGGAACTGAAGTTGGCTAATGTAAGATAATTAAGGGAATTAAATGTAAGAGGAGTTGAACACATTTCTTTTGTACAGATAGTTCCGTTTTTTAAATCCGAATAACTATTACTTCTGTCATTTGGAACACTTCGAGGAGGATCGACTTTGGCATAAAATCACATATTTCGATATTTACTGACAGATGCATAAGCTGTAGATAACCTCATAGTATTAAGACAACTTTCGATTAATTCAAATAGTTTGAAATTCCATATTTGATTGATTTCATTAACACTTGAAAAGTGTATCTCTGCCATCTACTACCTCAGTTTTTAATCATTAACTCATCGTCAAATCAAAACTTTTCCTGGTACCGATATTAGTTTGATGTCTCTGTAGTTCTCACATGTGTTCAGATCTCCTTTCTTTGGTATCTTGATGATATCCTTCTTTCCAGTCGATCGGCACTTGTTCCTCATCCCAAATTTTCCCGAATAGATTGTGGAGCATGTTTGCGATTTCTTTTATGTCTAACTTTAGTGCTTCAGTTGGTATGTTATCAGGTTCTGCTGCTTTCCCAATCCTGATTTGTCTAATGGCCATCCTGATTCTTCGGTCATTGGTGGGTTGCCATCTATAAGAAGTTGTATGTGCTGCTTCGATATTCAGTGGTTTCAATGGAGTTGGTTTATTCAAGAGTTCCTTGAAGTGTTCCGCCCATCTGTTCATCTGTTCTTGGATCTTGGTAATTGTCTTGCTTTCTTTGTCCTTGACCGATCTCTGTGGTTTACTATATTTCCCTATCAGTTTCTTTGTCGTGTCATCTAGTTGTTTCATATTTCCTTCTCTTGAAGCTTTTTTCACTGTGGTTGCTAGGTCTTCCACGTATTTCTGCTTGTCATATCTAATGCTTCTCTTCAATTGCTTGTATTCAGCTTGTGCCTTGACTTTCTCTGTTCTTGTTTGGCTGTTGTTAATTGCTGTCTTCTTGTTCTTCCCTTCTTGAATCTTATCTAGGGTTCCGATAGCGATCCATTCTACATGATGATGATTGTTTAGACCCATCGCTTCCTGACACGTTGAAGTTAATGTTTCTTTGATCCCTTTCTAGTTGTCCTCCACAGTAGTTTCTTCTTCTTTCGGTAGATCCTTTAAGGCTTGAAACCTGTTGTTGAGTTACCTTGAATTAATTGAGTTTATCATTATTTTGAGGAAAGGCTGTATTGAACCGTTGTACTTCTGGTTCCCCAGTTGTCCAATGCTTCTTCAGCTTCAGTTTCAAGCTAGCAACCACCAACCAGTGGTGATCTGAAGCTATGCCAGCTCCTCTTCTGGTTTTCACGTCTTCCGTTCTCCTTTTGAATCTTTAGTCACTCAAATATGATCGATCTGATTCTCTGTAGTGTGGTCTGGTGATATCGGACTAACCAACATACTTAAAATTCTTTAAAAACTTTTATGAGATGAAGGATTTTAAGTTCTATCATTCATTAGAGTATGATATCATGACCTAAATATCAGTCTATTCTAGAAATAAAATAAAGAATTGCAAAG